GCCACCCTTCTTTGTCCCTAACCTGGATTGGGGAAGATCTACTGTCATAGGAGGAGAGGTCTTCAAAACATGGATAGTGTGGAGGAACCAAAGTTAGGAGTTAACAACGCAGCTTTAATCCCAGGTGAAGACTCGTTTAATCCGAGTCTCTGCAGTCTAGCCTGCCCCCACCACCCAAGTAGGCATTTTCTTTATGCATTTCTTCAAGAAATGCATGAACAAATGACCCAATGAAGACACGAACTTCAAAGCATTATCTGAACATAATTAACTATATGTATATAGTTGTATATAGCCAGTTATATATATAACTGGTTGGGCTTGGAGGGCAGATGTATTTGGCCATTTGCTGATTGTAAGACCCCGAGACCAAGAGCCAGTATGTGTGTGTGTGTGTGTGTGTGTGTGTGTGTGTGTGTGTGTGTGTGTGTGTCTAGCCCTCTCCCTGGCCTTTCTGAGCAGAAGCAAATGTAATTCTCCCTGAGGGATGGGTCTTTCTCTTCATGGCCTTGGGAGCATGGCAGTGCCAGGTTGGCCTCCGTGGCCTGCATGGTCTGGAGAGTCACGTGGCCTTTCGTGTGGTTGCAGATACGTCTGCGATTACATCTACTACTTGTCGCTCCACCACGGAAATGGGCACGCAGCCCTGGTCCACGTCACTCCGCTGTCCCGTGGGCTCCCAGCCAGCCTGCTGGGAAAAGCCTTGCAAGTCATTCTCCAGAAAATGCTGGAAGAGAATGAGGAAAGCCCGAGCTTCAAGCCCAGTCCACAGAAAAGTGGAAGCACGCTGATCGCAGCCAAAGGGAACCCATTGTGAGGAAAGTCTCCTTTGGAGGAAGTTAAGTGATCGCATCCTGTGTGCAGAGTTTGGGATGTCAGGCGCTTTGGAAGAATTGCTTATAACACAGCTTACGTGGAGGGGAAATTTTTTGTTTTTTTCCTTTCTGAATTAGCCCAAGAAAAACCATGAAGAGTTATTTTATGGAAAGAAGAACCCCTTAAAAGGCAGATAGGTAAGCCAGGCGCCAGTGGCTCAGGCCTGTAATCCTAGCTACTCAGGAGGCTGAGATCTGAGGATTGAGGTTCAAAGCCAGCCCAGGAAGAAAAGGCCATGAGACTCTTATCTCCATTGCACCACCAGAAAACAGGAAGTAGTGCTGTGGCTCAAAGTGGTAGAGCCCTAGCTTTGAGGAAAAGAGCTCAGGGATAGTGACCAGGCCCTGAGTTCAAGCCCCACAGCTGACAAGACAACACTAACTTCAGTTATGCTGTGACCCAAACCTATTGTTACAGAGGCTGAAAACAAAACAAAACAAAAGCCCCACAAAAAAAATCAAAAAGCAGACGTGGTATTGCAACAGGAACTTCCATTCCTGGAGCCCAGCTTGCCATCTGGACATTGAGTCCCAAGGGTTTGGCTTTCCTCTCTCTCTCTTTTTGCTACTTATTTTAAGCATTTGAGTGTATAGTACTGTCATGTTAGTATGAAGGTCTTGGCTCAACCTGTCTCTAGAACTTTCTCCTCCTCCCACATGGAAACTATACTAGACTAAACCATACTCTCCCCTGGCTTCTATCCCAATGCTGTGACTCTACTTAGCTAATGTAGTGATCATCTTGTGTCTTTTCACTTAGCATTGTGTTCTAAAGCTTCATCCATGCTGCGGCATGGAATGGGATTTTGCTGCTTCTTCCATTGAGTAATATTCCAGGCCCCGTATGATTTCTGTCTTCATCTGCAGATGGGACAGTGGCTCTGGTTAGTAAAGGCCGCAGGGAACACCGGTGCTCACACGTCTCTTCCAGACCCTGATTTCAGTTCTTTCGTCTGGATGGCGCGCGCACCGGGCTGCAGGAGGATTCTGGTGGATGTTCTGAGGGTCTGCTCTCTCTCCTGTTTGTGGCGGTTTTCCATCGCCCCCGACAGTGTCTGGTCTGAGAACAAACTTAAGGACTGGGCTTAGCTTCCCTCCATTATCGCTCTGACCCCTGAATTTGAAAATCACAGTCTCCCATTTCAACTTCTTGTGTTGACCTGCCCACAGCCACGTGCTCCGTGTTCAGCGTGTTGTGGGGGGCATTTTCACTATGAACCCATGGATTCCTTTGGAATGAATAGGGACTTGAATTCAGGACCTTGAGCCCTTGCTCGACATTTTCCACTCCTGGCTGGCACTCTACCACTTGAGCCACACCTCCACTTCTGACTTATTTGTCAGTCATGAGACCTGAACTCTGGGCCTGGACACTGTCCTTCAGCTCTTCAGCTCAAGGTGCGCATTGTACCACTTGACCCACGGCATCACTTCCACATTTTTCTGCTTATATGGTGCTGAGGAATCGAACCCAGGGCCTCATGCATGCAAGGCAAGCACTCAACCACTGAGCCACCTTCCCAGCCACTTCTGACTTCTTAACTGATTATTTTTGGAAATAAAGAGTCTCGTGGATGTATCTGAAGCATGATTCTTAAATCTCAGCTTCTAGAAGCAGCCAGGTTTTCAGGCATGAGCCACCAACAGCAGGCAGGAATTCCTTGTCATGTTGGTGTGTGCTCACCACTACCATTTTCCATGTGATCATTTAGTGGGCTGGATTCACTTACTGTTTAAAAAAAAAAGAGGAACAGACAAATTGCAACCTAATAACATAGGAACTAGGACTAGCGAGGACATTCAGGAAAGTACTTGCCTGGAATGCACAAATGCCTGGGTACAATTCCCCAGTGCCCAAGAAATCGAACCCCAAACCAACCACAGGACTGGACAGGCCTTGCCTGTCTTGCTGCTAGGCCTCCTGCACACTTGTGCATTTGCCACAGATGTCACAACCCCCCCCCCCACTCCCCTTTGTGAATAAACCTGGATTGTGTGATGTGCAACAGGTGTGGGCAGATGTCAGGAGCTGGGGTGGGATGGTTTGGGGCACATGGATGCCCTCGTTCATGGTTGTTTATGAGGAAACTCTTCTGTTCTTAGGGGCAAACAGCTGCTGCAAGAAGCCTCAAACTTCTCCACCTCCAGTCCTGGGACCCAGGAAAACTGGGAGACTCCAGAGCCTGACTTCAGTGTTTTTTTTTTTCAGATCATATGACATACACATCATACACATTAAAACAGATTTAGATATTCAGTTGGCAGGCACAGAGCTCCCCCAGGGTAGATTGTTTAGTATCTGCTCTCCCCGTCCTGCTTTGATGTTTTCTAAGAACACATTAGCGTCTGGTATGTGTCAATGGCCTGAATTCCTGGTGGTATGTGTGAGGCTCTTACGGTGGATACAGGGTTGGTCTGAGTCTATGGACTGGTAGCTGCCTGTGGTGTAGACGTGATTTGTCTCCCAGAGGGTGTGTGTGTCGGGAGCTTGGTGCCCCGTCTGATATTGAGGAATAGAAGTGGGGCCTGCAGGGGCGTCCCGTAGGCGGTGGGAGGCTCTGCCCTGGGAAGCGGTCACAGCCTCCTGTGTGACTCGGGAGCTGCTGCTGCTGCTGCTGCTCCAAGGCTGTGGTGGCCCCAGAATTGCTCTCCGCTTCCAGATTTGCGACGTGGTATGGTCTTGCCTCACGTGCTCTGTGGTCAGCCACAGCGTCCTCAGAACAACGCTGGCGTGGGACCATGTTCTGGAATCTCTGGGCACAGAGAGCAAAATGTCTTATGTCAGCCTCAGGCATTTTGTGACAATAATGCAAAAGAAATACGTACCGGGATCTGTGGCCCTCCACACAGAAACTCCCTAAGAAGTGCCATGGAGGGGAGAGGTTCTCACTCTGAAAGGCCCAGTGCTTTCATTCTAATGAAACTGCTCTCTGTTGGTGGGCAGGCCAAGTGGAGAATGTACCAGTATGGCCTGCAGGCCTAGCATCAGCCTAAGCTTGGAAACCAGACTTACCCGTCATCTAGCGAAGGCCCCTGGACCCTCGGTGGTGGCAGAGAACGGAAACCCTGGGACTCAAATGTGTTTTCAGAAAGACCAGCTGGCCTGGCATTGGTGGCTCACACCTGTCATCCTAACTACTTGGGAGGCTGAGACCCAAGGATCCCAGTTCAAAGCCAGCCTGGGTAAGAAAGTCCGTGAGGCTCTTATCTCCAGTGAACCACCAGAAAACCAGAAGTGGTGCTGTGGCTCAAAGTAGCACAGCCTTGAGCGAAAAGAGCTCAGGGACAGTGCCGAGGCCCTGAGTTCAAGCCCCAGGACTAACAAAAGAAAAACAAAAAAGGCCTTCTGTTGGCACACTACCTACCTGTGAGACTCTGCAGGACGTCAGTAACCTTGGCCTCTGATTTATGTCTACTGCTTACAGCTTGCTAATTAGCACTTCATCTGGCGGCCCTGATCATTGGAGTAGAAGTTCCCTCGGTCGATGTTGAGTGAGACGGCCAGTGTGGTCCTCCTGGCCTCCTCTAAGACATCTTCCGTCTCATTCTAGAACATGCGTAGCTCGTTTTCTTTTCCTCCCATAACCCATTTCCCCGATCCTCGGGATAAAGATGCTGATGTGTAGATGATTGATTTCTGGGAGCCGGACAAGGATCGTGGATCACTGGCTAGACAGGGACTAACCCACTGGAACACCCAAAACGACCACATCCTGTGTGCAGCATTTCTGGTTCTTCCTGGCACCCTGCATGTTAGCCAAGGAAGTACCAGTAAGGACCCGGAGTCACAATTACATAGACCCTGGACTAGAGTCATATAGATCACACACCTGCTGGGCCTGAGTTTTGTCACCTGAAGGTATGGGGAGGAGGGGTAGGCAGTCAGTCAAAATAGAAGCACCAGACTCTGTACATCATACATTCAAGTTGATTTAAGAGGGAGATGAGCTCCCCGAGTCTCCCCAGCATTTGCCTGCCAGAGCCCCAGCTGTCAGCAGTTCAGATTGGGCCTTGGCAGGCACAGACGGTGCTTCTAAGTGACACATGTGCAGAGGCCGGACTCTGCCACAGAAGCAGAGTCCGAAGATTCCAGGGAAGAAAAGGAGACAGAACGGGAGACCAAAGTGCATACAGAATTCATTTATTTAACTTAAACCATGTAGTACTTGAACTAACTAGAAAAAGCAGAGTAAGAGAAACTAAAATCACCTTAGCTCCAGCCATTCAAAATAGACAAAAGTTTTTTCTTCTTCTTCTTAATGTAAAGAACCCAGAGTATATCGCAGTAACAGGAATACATTCTTACAACAGAATATACAAAAAAACATTTTGAAAATTTTTTTATCTACTGATTTTTTTAATATAAACAGAATTTTTTAGGAATAATTTATACACAGAAAAGTCATTTTATGTAACAAATTGGCCATGTTATTACCTTTTTCTTTTTTTTCTTTTTTAACTTTTTTTTTTTAAAAAAACCTTTTTTTAAAACAAGAAAACTCAGAAAATGAATTATATGCGATGCATCTGTTCCATCGCACATCCTAGCTTGATTTTTTCTTTTTTAATTTTTTTTTTTAATCCCAGAGGTAGACAAACTCTGGCAAAACTTTCCTCCCAACCTCACTGGAGTAGGAAGCAGACCGGAGGGCTCGCCGGGCATTAGCCACCTTGGCTCTCTCTACACAATGCCAAATGTCCAGATGAGAACGTTCCAAACCAGAATCACAGAGTTTCTGGGCCATTCTCATATGGACTGCAAAAAGTTCCAGATTCTTGGAAGCGGTAGAGTACCAGCCTTGAGGCCTCCCCCAATCTCCCAAAAAAGTTCCAGATGTTTCCAATAAGAAGTATCCTGTGGAGGTGTACAGACATAGCCCACAGCCCACAGCCCATCGCCATGGGAGCCCAAGGGCACAAGATTAAACTTAAAAAATAAAAAAGTGAATTATGTTGTAAATTGGTTTTTTATTAAAAGGAAATTTGTTCTGTATTGGAAAGAATAATCATATACCCTCAGTGTTGTGCCTTAAATAAAAAGTAAATAAGGTCTCTTCCTTGTTAGAATAGGGCAGTCACACGATAGGAGATCTTTAAATGGATGGCCTATGTGTCCTAGAATGTTCTGGGTGGTCATTGTAAAACCATCCACTGGACCCTGAAGTCCTTCCATCTCCATGGCATTGTAGAACAAGGATCATAATCAAGCCAGATGCCAACAGTGCGGTCCCCTGCTAGGCGACCACACCTCTGCTACCTTCAGTGAGGTTGTTCCTTCTATTTGTTGAAAGTTGCTACACTCCAAAAGGAAATGACTGGGAAAAAAAAGAACTTCCCAACCAGAAGGTTCTAGAAGACCAAGATACTGAAAATACAGAACTATTTTTGAAGTTGTCATCATTCCTTTTGTTATAAACTAGGGTAACAAAGCATGGCAGGGGGCGGGGTGGTAAAAGAGGGTGAACCACATCTTGGGTCCTGGGGGGGGGGGAGTCTTTTTTTTTGTTTTTTTGTTTTGTTTTGTGTTTATTTTTGGCATATTGTAAAGCTCGCTAGTAAACAGGTGTCCTAAAAGAAAATAACAAAATGGATCACAAACACACACTTGCACACAGAGGGAAAAAAAAGTGTCTTTAAATTATTTTCGGCAATTATAAACTACAAATATTTTATAAAATTATTCTATGTTCTTACAAAAACAAATGCAATGAAACATTTAATTAGTTCTTGTAAACCAGATCTTCGTCAACTGACTACCCGTAATCTACTGGACTTAAGAGCCCTATTGGAAATACTAATGAATGACTAATTAAAAAAAAAATGTTTACCGGAAAGATGAGGACACATAAACTCAGACATACAAATGATTAATTATGTTCTTGAGGAAACAAAATAAAAACAAAACCTTAACGTCATGCCCCAGAACTGACAAACTCAGTTGGTGAGTGTGACCCAGTCTTGTGTTCTTGAACAACGTCACGACAACTCCGTGTGAAGTTTCCAGAGCGAGAGGTTAGGTTGAAACCAAATACCCATGATGGCTGCTGAGCCTTCATGTGATCCGATAACCTTCAGAAATGATCACGTCCAAAGCGTGGAGTACATTTCCTCCAATCCCAGTGACCCCCTCCCACCCTCCCTGCCACCCCGTCTTCCCGTAATGCTTCTCTTCATGCCACGATTCCTGGTTCACATGGCTCCTGGTACCATCAATAAGGAATCTTCATTTTCTTTACATGACTCACTAGCCATCCAAGATGGTGGCCAAACATGAAACCCTCTGGCCCAGTCCAAGGCTAGGATCTTCAGCGTCTCTGACAACAGATGTCCAATCTCAACCATGGCCTCTCTTCCAAGCTCTCATTTTGTTGCCACTAGGAGAGTGACCATCATCGCTCGCTCGCTCTCAAGGAGTGGATCTTGGGTCTGGGTTTCCCAATGCTGCTTAGCCCAGAGGAAAAAAAAATAAAAAGCTGACACCCATGTTACATGAAGGTAACAATAACAGAAGAACAAGCCCCGAACTGTGAACGCAGTTGCTGGAATGGGCTATGTCCTGGACAGCGCCAGCCGCACGAAGGGTGTGTTCGTGTTGTGGAAAGGAGTTGCCTTCGGCATGCTCTGGCCAATCTGGGAGCCCCCGGTTAGTGTCAGGTGAGGGCCTGTGGTGAATGCTGCTACCTTCTCACCCACCTAAATTCAGGGGGACGTCGGCCACCTGCCCACAGAGACGGGCGGCTGAGAAGGAAAAACCCAGAGGCTTCCGTAGGTCAGACTGGCCTTGAGTTTGGCATCAGACACACAAGCAGGACGCATAGCTTCCTCCTATTGTACATTTTGCCGTCTGGTATGGTTTCACCATCACCACCTTTCTGTCTGACGAAGCCATGCTTTCTATCATCAAAAGGTACCAATGGTGTTCTGAGTCTCCAAACAGGTTGAGGGGAGAGGCTGGCCACAGCCATGAACGCACACGGTGTTCTGTGCTCCTGGGAGTCCATTCAGACTGGGTATATCCAATGCCATGGCATTCCCTTCAGGGACATGTGGGGGGTGGGCTCGAGTTCCGCTGTGTCAGGAACACACCCGCTCCGGCTGCCTCTGGGAAGGGCTGTGTGGGGGACTGCCTTCATGCCCACATCAACTCATGTGTCTCAGTGGTTCACGTGAACGTCAAGCAACGTGAGCTGTTGCCAGAAAAGGAGAGCGCACGGAAGAAGCCACAACTCAGCAAACAGAAGAGAAAAACCAAGAAGAGGTGGGAAAAAAAGCAGCATACAATGTGGGGATGTGAATGATGCCTTGGTTATCATGGAGGTGGGTGAGTTGGTCAGTAAAAGGGACTGCACCATCCCACCAGCACAATTTCCGCTTTTGATTGAAGTGCCTCGGAGGCTTTTAGGAGGGACACTACTGGCAGGTATTTTCTCTCCACTTAAAAGCTACCCTATAGGAAAACACACATCGAGACAAAACCAAAAAGAAAAAAAGACAACAACTTGGACAGCTGAAACAAAACCCTATCACCAGCTGAATGACCTGTAGAAATCCAGTTGTGGAAAGCGGTAGGTTTGTGCAAAGGGAGGAGAGGCCATGATTCCAAAGGGGTCACGTACAGTGCTCAAGAAAGAAACCCTGATCAGATAGGACGTGTCTCGGTGACCTGAAGATCCCACAGACTAGAAGGAGGCGGCTAGCATTCTTTCAGGAGGACGGAGGCTCCCGAGCTGAACTCTTGAGGACTGAGCTGTCTAGTGCTCACCAATACTCGAGGAAGAACCGCCTACCAAGTTGCCATGCTACCATCCTCAAAGGCCTGTGACCACAGTCTCTCACCCACTCCTCTAAGCAGCAGGGTAACAGGGCGATGGAGGCCCAGCCCTGGAGGAAGGCTGGGCACTGACCTCTGGCCTAGCCGGCCCTCAGGTTTGGCCCGTCCTTGTTTACCCCTAGGGGACGAGGCAGTGTGGGTAAGATGGGTCACGTGCCACTGTCTGGGGATGCCACTGGCCGTCGTCCCGAGAGAGCCTCTGTGCTCCTGAGTAGGGTGTAGGTGGATCAAGGTCTCTGACTGTTGATTGGCCTTGCCTGGGTCTGTCTCAGCACAGGAAGCTAGGGGAGCCACCCGGATGTCCCTGACATAATACACATGTGGGGCTCCTTCCAGACAAGACTTACGTGTGGGCCTCTTCTGGCCCTCAAACTCTAGGAACACCTGCTCTCTCAGAGACCAAATGTATTGGCCATTCAATCTGTCTAAAGCAGTGGTTCCAGAGGTAGAGGCGACAGGTGACCCCCACTCTATGTTCTGGTGCACCACCCCTCCCCCTCCCCCCACACCCAGCGGTCATAGAGGCTGCTGAGTGAAGGAGCGAGGGAAATCCTAAGACCGTGCTATCACCGAGGACACCAGGTTGGGGAGGGGGAGAGGAAAAGAACTAGCTCAAAGCAGAAAAGCAAAGGCAAGCCATTGGAAATAGGTGCAGAAGTGAGTTAGTGTTGTTTGGACCCTGGAATGCAGCCTGACCTCTCCCTGTGTCACCTGTGTGTGTGTGTGTGTGTGTGTGTGTGTGTGTGTGTGGTCTGTGGTATGAATGAGGTTAGCAGTATCAATGGCCTATTGTCAGGTGAAGTGTGAGATGGTTTCTTGTTTTTTTTTTTCTTTTTTTCCCTATATACACATATAAAAAAATAAGAGTGAGGTAGATAAATGTTTGAAAAGCAACAACCAAAACACCCCCAAAACTATCCTGTCCTGCACACACACACACACACACACACACACACACACACACACACACACGCACACACACGCACACACATTCTAACCTTTGCCTTTAAATTCATAATGGGGGATTCTCTACTGGTATCACAAAATAAATTAAAAGAAAACTACTCATAATATGTTCTTATTTAGCGTTTTCTTTTCTTTTTTTTTTTTAAGGGGAAACACTGACTGAGGCTAGTAAGAAAGCTGAGGCTGAATCTACTCACAAGCAGAAAAGCTTGGCACCTTTGCTTTTCTGGGTTTAATCTCCAGCCACGACTAGCAGTCATCATCTTTGAGCTTTGTCCTCACTCATTTTTTTTTTTTAAACATTTCATCCCAGAAGCGATGCTTGTGCTGTGAAAAACAAAATGTAATCGAGCAAGACTCTGTCCTTCCTGCACCCCAGGACTGAGATTCCCAGCCAAGGAAGGCCAGCCAAGGCCAGGCTCCCATCTCCTAGGAGAGAATGAAGGGATCCGGGGCTGCTGTGCAGCTAGCACTGCCCTGTTCACACTCAGGCTGGCAGACCCTGTGCGTAGCACCCTCCCCCCCCACCGGCCTGCTGTGGCTGTAAGGCACAGGTAGGTCCGATGAAGATGGCCAAGCCACATTCTGCTTGCTGTACAGGTGTTTCAGGGGATGGAAGGATTAAATAGTCATGAAATAAAAATGATCAAAAAAAAAATCAGCATTCCAAATGCCTAAGTGTCTGCAGTTGAACACTGCTGTTGTACCCAAGAATCTCTCTCTCTCTAAATACAGATAGATGCATGTTACCACCAAAGAGCAGCAAGGGAAAGTGACAGATGAGACAATGAGGCGTACAAACGCCCAACAAGGACATGTGAGCTATTCTGTTTTGTTTTCTGACCTGAGTTTGTATCACGTCTGGTCTGGGACAGAAGGGGCACCTGACCACAGAGGGGAACGAGGTCCTGTGGCCTTCACCCCAGCCCCCCCTGCCTCATGCCCTAACCTTGTGTCCACAGAACCTACAGGTTAGAATACAACAAATGGGACTGGGGACAGCAGGAAAGGGAGAGATGTATTTACATTAAAAAAAACAACCTCCAAAAAAAAGAAAAACCAAAATAAAAAGAGAAAAAAAAATCCACAAAAAGATAAAAACAAACAACAACAACAAAAAAAAAAATCACCAGGCATCAAAGAGTTAATGGCAAATTATGGTCCAGAAGTATCCATTGCTGGGAGAAGAGCAAAAGGGGGAGAGGGGGAGGCAGAAATCACACACTCTAGTACAAAGCATTAAGAAGTTTTCTTGGAGTGAGCAGAAGAGAAGAAAAAGGAGACCTGTAACTTTTCATAGATTAAATCCACAAAGATAAAGAACAATAACCAAAAAAAAAAAAAATAGCAGCTTTTTTTCTGTACAGACATATAGATGAATATCTGAATCATAAAAAAGTTATAAAAGTGACATTAAAGACGACGTGTATGCAAATGTTTTCCTGGTCTAACATAGAACTGTAAGACCGTGAGGAAGTCCTAGTCACAGAGCTTAGAATGCTTGAATCTGTCGCCTGCTATTCTTCCCGCTACTGTGTGTCTGAATGCCCGCCTGCAACCCCGGCCCGTCTGTGTCCCTTGGGGTGGGGTGGTGGAGGTCAGTAGGGAGGAGGCTGGGGAAGAGAATGGCACAATGTCCATAGAAGAGACCCCCGTTTTCTCATCAGCCCCGTAACAGCCTGGTTGTCATCTTCAAGGAGAGCTGAGTGGATGTGGGGGGTCGGAGGAGGGGGGTCATGGGGCCCATCACCCACCCATCCCTTAAACCGGAGGTGAACAAGGACCTGCTGGATGCACCCACCCCCGTGCCTCAGAGCGGCGTGGCCACGGCGGGGGGAGGGGAGGAAACACAAATCCAGGATTTTGGCAAAAATTTGGCAGCATAAAAATGGCTAACAACCATGGATGAACAATGACCCTTTAACAGTTTTTGGAAGGCCCTACGAAAAGGCTAAAGATAGTTAAAAAAAAAAAATGTCATTCTCTATGTGCGTGTGTGTGCGTGTTCTATGTTTGTGTAAAGACATATACGGTGTTGGGCGGGTGGGTGCGGGGAGTGTGGACACGGGGGGGAGGAGGGGGGACACTTCTTGGTTGGGCTTGCTGCAGAGGTTTGTTGTTTGTTTTTTCCATTATGAAGCAGAAAAAGGAGAGAGAGAAAGAGAGAGAGAGAGGAGAGAGAGAGAGGCAGAGTGGCTGTGTTGCTATTGTTATCATTCAGGTGTGTAGAGGCCCTTGCCCAGGAGTGTTTGGGGAGGGAAATAAAAAGGCTGCTTGCATATTGAAAAAGGAACACCCCAAATGCGTTTACTGCGGAGAAGCTGTCCCCCGTTGGGTAGCCATGGTTGCTCTGAAGATCCACTGAGGTGCAGAAGGCTTGTGACTCCATGGTGGGCCCCGCTCTCCCGGCCCGCCCCTGCGCCCACGTTACTGTCAGCAGCTCCGAGCATCAGCAGGTGGACGACTGGGGCAGCGGCAGCGGGCGCTCGTTGGCGCGGCCGCCGTTCATGTGCGCATACGGCTGTCTCTCGTCGAAGCTGGCTCGCAGAACCAGCACTCCAGGGCCCGGGCCATTCTCGGCCTTGTGTCCTGAGTGTCTGTCGGGCAGAGGCAGGGAGGAGGAGGAGGCCGAGGGGTCCAGGGGCACGCTCTCCATGTTCTCGGGCTCCAGGTCCAGCTCCTCGGATTCGGGGGGCTTGTTCTCCTCGCTGTAGTAGAAGGAGACCTCGCGGAAGCCCGGCTCCATCTCGTCCTTGATGCTGCCGATGATCTCCAGGAAGGAGGGCCGCATCTTGGGGTTGTACTGCCAGCACATTCGCATCAGCTCGAACCTGAGGAGGGAAGGGCAGAGGGTGGATGGACCGGTCTGAGAGGGGGCCCCATGGCCAAGTAGCTAGCCCTAAGGGCTTCTTTCTGTGCTTCCCTATCCCATATAGGTTAAGTGAGAGGCCTGGAATGGTTCTACCATCACCCTACCCACCTGGGTGGCTCTCATCAGCACAGAACCCAGGCACAACCAAGGTACAAAAACCCCAATTCTCATCTCCTGAGAAGGCTGACTGCCTTCACACCGTCCCCTGGGGATCTGATCAATGGTGGCAGGGGTAAGAAATGAAGCTGGGTGCCAATGGCTCATGCCTGTAATCTTAGCTGCTTAGATCCCAGGTTGAAGCCAGTATGGAGCAGGAAAGTCCATGGGATTCTTATCTTCCACTAATCACCAGAAAGTTCGAAGTGGAGCTGTGACTCAAGTGGTAGAGTGCTAGCCTTCAGCCTAAGGAATAACTCCTAGACCCTGAGTTCAAGCCTGAGTATTGGCATAAAAAACAAATCTCTCTCTCTCTCTTACACACACACACACACACACACACACATACACACAAACACTCTGGCTTTCTGCCAGAAGTATCTCTTAAAGGTACTGACTCAACCTCAACCAGAATCAGAAAACAGGAAAGCTCCATTTCCCACTAATAAGGCTGAAGAAGAGCTACAGCTTCTCCAATGATGCCATTTCTAAGCTGCCTCGGGGTTCAGGGGTACCCTCCGGGAGGTCTGAAGGAAGAGGACTATGGGGCGACAGACAGAAAGAACACAGGCCCCTGCTTGCTGGACACTATCCATAGGCAGAGCTCTGACCCTGGGAGTTCAAGCCTCGCCTCGTCAAGTCTCAGTGGAGACCAGAAGCAGGAAGCCAACAAGCCTGGAAGAAGACGGCCTCCCCCTCCGCCATGCACTGGGGCCATCAGATGTCCCGGGAAGGTTTGGTTTACAAACTGGCAGCTAGTGTGGTGTCCTGTGCTCTGGTCAGGTGCAAACACGCCAGAGTTCCCATACTCCCAGCATTTCCCAAGAAAAGACCCCACCCCCTCCCCCGGCCCCACACCACCCCGGTGCGAGGCCCTAAACACGTGGAACTCATCTCTATGGCTGGGCTGCGATTTCCTCTCTGGCAAACCAACTAACTTATCCCTGAATAGAAGTTCGGCGGAGCCAAGAACACGAGATGCATCTGGCTCTGTGCCCTGTGGCCGGGGGGCTGAGAAGGTGCCACCGGCCGGGCAGTGATGTGGTAACATCAGCACAAACAAACCATGTGATGACTCTTTGAAATCGCTCCAGCCCTGGCCTGTCCAGCACTGCCCATAAAAGGAAGTCTTTTTTACACTGTGGAATCCCAGACCTTGTTTACACTCTTTAACACAAGAGAACTCTCCAATAGATTCTAGAAGGATTTATGAGCTGATAAAAATCCTTCCTTTAAAAAAGGCATTTAAACAAAACAAAACACGCTGGCCAGCCCTGGTGATCGCACAGGTGTGTGTGTGTGTGTGTGTGTGTGTGTGTGTGTGTGTGTGTGTGTGTGTGTGTGTGTGTGTGTGTGTGTGTGTGTGTGTGTGTGTGTGTGTGTGTGTGTGTGTGTGTGTGTGTGTGTGTGTGTGTGTGTGTGTGTGTGTGTGTGTGTGTGTGTGTGTGTCTCCTAAGGCTTGAACTCAGGGCTTGGAAGCTGTCCCTTAGCTTTTTTTTGCTCAAAGCTGGCATTCCACTACATGAACCACATCTCTACTTCCGATTTTTAGGTGGTTACATGGAAATGAGAATCTCATGAATTCACCTGCTTGGGCTGGCTTCACTCAGCCTCCTGAGTGGCACCCAGTGTCCCCTGGGTGTTGATGGTGAAGCTCACACCACTGTCCTAGCCTTTATCCTGCTGTACTAAAGCCAGATTCATCCAGGTCTCCAGGTTTCATGAGACCCAGAACTAAGCCTGCCCTCATTTTTGGTGACTTAGCAGCTAGTGTGCACCCAGAGGGTTCAATGGCCTTTGCAGGCTAAGCGCACAGACAGACCTGGGTATGAAAGAGAGCTGAGGACTGGCTGCCTCATTCATTTAAATGTGGGTGCAGCAGAGACCCACAATCCAAAATGCAGTCTTGTGGTAGTTGCTCAATCAATTTCAACTGAGTGGAGGCACTGAGATTCGCAGATCTAAACACCCTGGGGTTCAGATGACGACATCCTTCTTCTAAAGCTGGATCATACCGCAACACTGACAAGATTTGGGGGGGGGGGTTCCTGGCTAGTCCTCAGGACACCTGCTGTCCATACAGACACTGTAGAGTAGCCAAGGGGTCTTCCTGAGCCTGAGCTGAAACCCTCTCCCCCCCCCCCCCCCCCGTGGTTACCGTGCTGCCAAGGAGGCCCATTCCCCTCAAAGCACATAACCCAGCACTGTCTCTTTGCATGAGCCCCAGCAGGTTTCATGCAACTCCAGAGGGCTTAAAGACTCCCCTATTCCCTTCCTTTCCTATCTGTGAGCCCCTCTTGAAGAACACGTAAGAAGGCCGCCACAGACTCCCCTTTCCATGAAACCAGCTTGCCTCTCCCTCACGCTGTTCTGTTCTTGGAAAGGAGGCAGATTTGCCAAGGGTGGGGGTGGGGGTGGGGCTGTTCTGGATGGTGAAGCAGAAATGTCTCCTGAATGAAACATTTCAGGTCCAGGAGTGACCTCTACGTGTCAACTTCCTCCTCGCTGCCCTGGGAACAGGAAGTGCACAGCCTTTCCCATGGCAGGTGGCTGCTTCCCAGGCAGATTAAATTCCTATGAAAACTCTGCTTGTCTGGAGGTGGATCCAAAAACTCAAGAGGCCCATGCGCTTCTCAGGGACAACTGTTTACCAAAGTTTGAGGGGGAAAAAAAATACAAAGGCAATACCGCTCCTACGGCCAACCCCAAACCACAGGAACAAAACTCATACACCTGAGGGAGGCTCTGGAACTACTTGTGAGCCGGCAAGCCACTGCTGATCCCAGTAGGCCAACTCTATTCCTGTACTGTGTGCCACTGTGCAAATTCAGTGGGCGTCACTGCCCAGCCTTGTAATGGGCTGGCACGAATACAGGAGCTGCCCTGCTCGAGGTGGAGAAGACACTGCAAGTGGGGGGAGGGGGGAGGCTAGCCTCAGGGTACCTTCTCCCCCCTCCCCTGCCAGCTTCTCTGGGTAACCCCCTCCCCCTCTTGAATTTGGCTTATGTGTTGCATTCTTACTCTCTGTTACTCTGTTGATCCGGGATTGCTTTGGTCACATATTTCACAGACCCTGGGCCCGAGAAATCCCAGGGAAAACCATGAATCCAAACAAAACGATGAAGCTGGGTGCTGGTGGCTCATGATAGTCATCCTAGCTACTCAGGAGGCTGAGATCTGAGGATCACCGTTCAAAACCAGTCTGGGCAGGAAAGTTTGTGATACTCCTACCTCTAATTAACTGCCAAAAAAGCCAGGAGTGGAACTGTGGCTCAAATGATAGAGTGCTAACGTTGAGCAAAAAAAAAAAAAAAAAGTTCAAGGATAGTGCTAAGGCCTCCAAGTTCAAGCTCCAGGTCTGGCACAAAAACAAAACGAAAACTGAAGGACTAAGGAATTAAGGTGCTTGTGTACAACAACTCTGGCCTTCTGTGAGGATAAAGAATTCCTCTTGTAATCCTTTCCTGATGGTGGCTATACCCACAGGACCAGAGAGAATGACTCCTGTACTTCCTAAGTTTTAGGTCATGTGACCCAGGGGTATAGTCATTTGAGGGATAAAGATCCAAGGAGTGGGGAAAAGGGCGCAGGGAATACATACAGCATGTCAGGGCAGTTGTCTGGCTTGTCTAGAAGCCCGCCTTCCATGACGAAGCGAAGGACTTGCTCGTTGGACAAGCCTTGGTACGGCTGCTCAGCCAGTGTGGCAATCTCCCAGAGGACCACCCCGAAGGACCTGCAGGAGAAGAGAAGCATGAGTGCCATGGAAGGACACTAGCAGGACGTCTGTCCGTCCTTCCTTCCTTCCTTCCTTCCTTCCTTCCTTCCTTCCTTCCTTCCTTCCTTCTTGGTTTAGAAGCACTTGATGTTCACCACACACATTTCCAGTCCCAACCACGTATTCATCTCGCAGGGTGATGCGTGCAGACCACAACGTTCTAGCCTGGCCATAGATTTGGGGCGATCCAGTATCTCAGGTTCCTCGGAGGCACTCCAAGCCAAGAGTTAGGAGACCTATATCCCATAATGCCCCATCTGGACCCTCTGTGTAGGCTCTGATTTGATAGGTATGGGACTGGAACCTGGGCCTTTACATGAAGTTTTTAGAGGGATCTTGCTTTGAGCCAAGGAGAAGAGACCACAGAACTCAAGACCTGCTGGCCAGGGGGGAGGGAAAGGGGGAGCTCTGTCACAGGTAGAGGTACTGGGGTGGGATGTGCAGGTTTATGGAGTATGTTATACCCGAAAACCCTTCTGCACAGAGTCTGGCTGAGAAATATACTCAGCTGGGAGAGCCATGGGCAGCCCTGCCACCAAGGCAGTTTGGCCCATTAGTTCAGAAGAGCAAACCACAGCAGGTGCATTACACACACACAGACAATTCATAGAGCTACTGGCTCACGAGGAATGTTATCATCTGCCAAGTGAACGTGCACATCTTTACCCTTGACAAATCCTATTTGCCATCATGCTGTCAGTGGAATAAAGCAGGCTGTCCACGAGGCCTGCTGGTGGAACCTGAGTGGGACTGGCCAAGCCTGAAGGAAGAGGCTCTGGCGGGGTAATTTTCCATCCTGAGCTCTGCGAATCCTGGCCTTGCACGCCAGATGGGGGCAAGGGCAGAGGTCTCTGTCTCTGACTCAGAATGATTGGTCTGCTGGGTTAAGTCCTTCCTATGAACAAAAGGTTTCTGTGCATATTGGTACTCAAAGCTGATGTCAGACATAAATAGAATCTTAGCAATCAGGAGACTTGACCACACTGAGGTCCTTTTCTAACTGCCGGGGATTAAAGACATCATCTTCATGTTGTGCAAGAGACTGAGAAAAGCCAGACCTGAAGGCCAGAGCACAGCTTGAAACATCTGAGGGCCAACGGAAGCGGTTTTCTGTTGTCTTCACTGGTGGAAACCCTGCCTTCTAAAACCTTCCCAGTCCTATCTGTGGCACACCTTGGCATCCACCCGCATCCAAAACATGGCCAGGGCTCACAATGATCAGACTTCCATGTTTCCTGACTCCAGCCTGGTCTGGCCCTCTTCTCCTGCCCCATGTGCCCTCTCTGGCCTGTGTTGCTGGCTTGTAGGCATCTAACTCTTGCTGGGTGGTTCCCACACTGGCCCTTGCAGCCCCGGCAGCTCTCCTCCAGCTTTGTCACTTAGCTATCCACAAAGTCAGCGTGCCTCCAGCTGAACTCTGTCCTGCACCCTCTTACCCTCTTCATTTCCTGTCCTCCCTGCAGCCAACGCCTCATTCCTCTGGAGCAGCCCTACCTGGGGTAACCTGGTCTCCTCAGTCCTAATGCCAACAGAGGCTAAGGTGTGTCCAGAGATCTGGTCCCTTCTGCTATGGGTCTGCTGCATCCTTTCTAGAGGGTTCTAGCAACTTCTTGCTCTTTACCTTCCTTCCCCCCCCCCCTCTTTTTTTCATTCTGTGCCAGTTCTGGGGTTTAAATTCAAGGCCTTTTGTTCTCACTTGCCTATTTCCATTCAAGGCTGGCATTCTTGAGCCACAACTCTACTTCTAGCTTTTCACTTTAAAATTGGAGGTAAGAGCCTCAGGGATTTTTCTGCTCAGGCTGGCTTCAAACCATGATCTTTCGATCTCAGCCTCCTAAGTGTTAGGATTAGAGGTGTGAACCACGGGTGCCCAGTTCCCAACTCTAGCACCAGGCTGCCCTGTCCTGTCCAGCTACCTTCATAATTCACTACAGAGCCTGTAGACGTAGCCCTCCATCCCTAGCAAGCTCAGTAAGCCAAGAAAGAAAGGCCGGGTGGGGAGTGATGCATATTCTTGGGCAGGGAATACAACCAGGCTTTATGTCCCCATCTGCAGTCCTTTGGACCCATCTTCCTCCAGGCCCAGGGGAGTGTCATGTCCTCTAAGCCAGATGGGCCATGTGAGGGGAAATAGGAGCTGAAGGAGAAGCTGCCATGATTTATAAAACCCTGTAACAAAGTCTTAGATGACAGAGGAGACTGGAGGGCAGGAGAGAGCCCACAGGGAGTCACACAGAGGATGACTGGAGCCCCACGCTCCTCCCTCAAGTCTGGTGGCCCCCATCCTGGCCTGGGCGCCAACACAGCCTGGCCACTTGCCGCTCGAGTGCCAGCTGTGAAAAGTGCTGTGGACAGGATTCAGGGCTGGGCCTAGTCTCAGAGATGCTTTCCCCAACCCTCTGATTCTGGAACTTCCTACCAAGTCAAACTCAGTTCTTCAGACTTCGTTTAAGAATGACTGTCCTGTGCTACAAAATACATTCTAAACATGCCCCATATTCTTCTGTGTGTGTGTGTGTGTGTGTGTGTGTGTGTGGCGGGGTGGGGGTGGGGAGCAGAACTCAGGCAGCTGAGAAACCCACATAACCCAACATCCTGGCCTCTCCCCCGCCCCCACCCCCGCTGTATCCTCAAAGGCTGGGTTGAGAAAACAAAAATACTGCAGCACTGTCAGAGCCTGGCCATTTGATGGAATGAATCCCAGAGGCCTGCTCTCCTTGGTGCCTGTTTTTCTCTTGTTGGTTCACAGCAGTTATGTAGTTCAAGGGCAGGGATCAGCATGGAGCACCACGTGGTCCTTTTGCTGCTGCTGCTGGTGACGGCTGCTAACCAGAATCTGGGTAGAGTCATTCGGTGAGAAGTTAACAGCTCTGGTTTCATCTGCCCACCCTGCCTACGCTCCCATCCTGCAAACTGACCTCAAAGCTTCCTGAAGCACGAAGCCTAGAGCGAACCCATGAAAGAGAACACCCAGGTGTGCCTTCTGCCCCTCCGCTCTCAGAAGCGGTGCATCCACTTTGTTGATTTGACAGAAAAGAGGTAACCATCTTGGACAGGCTCACTGCCCAACAGATCTCATCTCGGAGGTTCAAGAAGCAATGGGGCTCTGCTGGGTCCTATATCCATGCTATTTCCAATTTGCACCTGTCCTCCAAATGAGACTCAGAACTGTTGATGACACAGGGTTCATGAAGTTTAAAAATGATGTCGGTCACTACTGAAATAGTTCCTCTCTGCGGTCATCCACAGTTGGGAGTAAACAACTACCATTTCCGTAACATAACAGCAACGGGATCTCCCGAGAGGAAAGCCAAGACACTTGCTGAAATTCTAGAAGGTGGATGTGCCAGGTCTCTTGCCTGCCAAGAAGCTCAGTTGTATTTCAGAACCTGACGGCCTCTCTACAGTGTTTCCAAGGAACAGTGGTAAACAATGCTGCAGGGAAATCTTCCTAGCCCCTGGCCAGTGTCCTTTCACCACAGGACATTCGCACTGCTACTAAAGGAGACATCTGGTTTTCCAAAACCACTCGTGGGTCCACAGGGATGGGTGCCTCCAGAGAGAGGGCAAGCCGCAGATGAGACCAGGAGGAAAATATGAAAGAGTCACAAGCTTTAAAGGGGGAAGATCCCAATGGCACAGCTCCTTCCAGCAACCAACCCACACAGTTTAGCAAAATGAGTACTAGCCCAAACACATTTTGTCAGAGGAAGGTAAAGCTCAAGGGGGAGGGGTGGATGAATGGAGAGAGAAAGGGTGGACAAATACAGCCATGCTTTTCCACGTACATGTGTGCAAACGGACGCAAGCGACTTGAACGGATGGGTGGGGTTGGGGGAGATGGGGGGAAACAATGCGAGGGGTGACATTGCCCCAGATGCACGGTGCTCATAAACTGATATGCGCAACTGCAATCTCTGAGCAACGACTGCAAGTTAACAAATAATCAAATAAAATACAGAAGCGGCTCCACTCTGAAGGTGCAGCTAGGGGAGACAGGTGCATCAGCACAGTAGCTATCTACTGAGAAAGAGGAAGAGAGGGGGAAGGCAGGCAGGGGAGAAGCATGGCTCTAACTTCTGGGAACGTAATTGAAAGCTGCTACAAATGGATGAAAATGTTTGGGAGTTCCCACCGTGCCCTTCTCTCTTTAGCTGCCCCCCCACCAACAGCAGGAGCACCTCCAAGACGAAGGTGTGCGGCCCACCCAGCATTGAGCTCAGGATGGAAATTAGGGGGGAACCAACGGAGACCCAGAAGAAAAGAAAACCCTAGGACTTTGAGCTATGGCACACACAGAGGCCAGAGGGACCCGGCCAGCCTCGCGTCAATGCTTCTCCTACCAGACATCCGAATGGGTGGTGAAGACGCCGTCCTTAAGTGACTCCGGGGACATCCAGCGCACGGGCAGCAGGCCCTTGCCTCCTTTCCGGTAGTAGTCTGTCTCGTAGATATCTCGAGTCATACCAAAATCTGGAGGGTGTGGAGAAGGGGTGGTTACACGGTGGGGGGGGGGGAGGGGGGAAGCAGCCCGTGGGAAGAAGCAGAGACACCAGGGCCTGGCTCTCTCCACGTTCAAGGTCAGACACAGCCAGTCCACTCCACTCTCGGGAGGCCCAAAGAAAGGTTTGCAACTTACGAGGGACAGACTGTAAGGGGGAGATTAGGCCCATGACAAGTGACTACCAAGAAAGCTCCGGGTTTGAACACCGTCATTTGGTCTGGTTCACTTAAGACGTTAACTCTCTTCTTACATTGAAAAGGATGGGCCATTTACAAATTATGGAGTTCCTTAATTTATCAAGAAAACTATACCCCCCACAGACCAAGGATCGGTGACATGTTGCCTAAATGGGAGAAAGTACACTTGTCTTCTTGGCAGTGTGGGCTTATGGCCAAAGAAAAAGGCTCCAAGTTTAGTAAGGGGGAAATCACTCAGGCTAACCAGCCAATCGAAGAACACAGTGAGACACGCAAGAGATGCTGTTTACTAGGCTCCTGAAGCAATTACCCAGCACTGTTTTTCAACATAATATACCCAATTGTTTCTAAAAACTTCCTCAATTTTCCAGGACAGCAGGAGATGTCATATAATTATGTCTGATGGCAGGCTTGCTTTATAATCCCAAATTATTTGTTGCCAGTCAGATTCTGACTTTCCATTCAATCATGTGACCTTTACTCCCATGGACTCCTCATTCTCAGTCGCAGGAGAAAAGGACTGCTCTATTCTGCCCATCTCTAATGCCTGCCACCGAGAGGAAAGGCTACAAAAAGCAAAGCAAACTCGCAAAAGACAGTTTCGTGGACATTGACCAACGTAAGTCACTCTTGTCCAATACGAAAGGCCAAGCAACTCCTTCTGGGGAGGTGATTTGTCATGTGTTGCATTTGTAACTGGGAAAACACTAACCAACCCTGACCAAAAAAAAAAAAAAAAAAAAAAAATCAACGTGAAGTGCTAAGATCAGATCTGACTTAATCCAGCAACAAGTAAAGGAGAGAGCCTCCCTCTACCTGCGCATGATGGGAAAGACAAAATTAGAGGGGGGAAAAAACAAACAAACACCTCTCATCTTAAACACAAAAGAAAAAAAAATCCTGAACTCTTGAAAGAAAAACCTGCCATGATAAAGAAAGGGTCACTATAAATATGTCACATGGTTGGATGGCAAATCTCAGTCCTCTACAGGAAAGCAGAAAGAGTACTAAGGAAGCTCCCCCAATAAGGGGAGTGGCTTTTCCCCAGGATATCCCGGAACAGTCTTGTGGGATATCTCTACTTCTCTGAGAGCTGCTCGGTCAAGCTGGGCATCACAGGACCCTACATGTGAAAATGCCTGACACCCTAGCCCAGGGCCTCTCTGGGGGATCCTGAGCCCCTCTAGCCCCTCTGAAGCCATGCAAAATGAATGCAGTGAACCTCTGCTCTAGAAAAAGGAAAAGAAGGGGGAAAAAAAAAAAGCATTGCTAACGTAGAACACGTGATTCAAGAGCTAGACAAAGAGCTTAACTGTAAATAGGTTTCCTTGCCTGCTAAGGTGTCTCTGCACTTACTTTCTCAGGCTGAAAGTTTGGTCGTTTCCTGAACTATCCTCCTATTCTAGTCGGAAGATATAGGTCGTAGTCCAAGCAGGTGGTGACCTGAGCTCCCCTGATGCTCTGTGTTTTTGTCAGATGGATGAAAAGACCAAAGCAAAACCCCACACTGAAAGGCTGAAAGGAGTTGTCAGCTAGTGATCAGAAATCCAACTCAACCCTTTTTTTTTTGGTGTAACAGTAGGAGGGGTGGCAATGGGAGGGCCAGTCAGCTAAGATCATAAAAGTACAATGACAAAGGGGTCAAAAGCATGGAGGCTGACCAGCCTCGGGTGTGAAATGCCTAAGCAGAGATCTTCCATCCTCTGAGGGACTGCCACGTCTTTGTCATGGCTCCTTCACTCTTTATGGCTGCCCACGGGAGACAACACGCCCTAGAACCTAGAGAATTTGCAGGAAGATTGGACCATGGCTGTTATTCTCATCTGAGGACACTGTCCTGATTATCACGGGAGCCAGTGCTCTGAGTGACCTCAGGGGCCGTGGACACTTCCTGGACCACCGTGTCAACACGCTCACAGGAAGAGAGCCAGACCGGGCAGGATGACGAGCAACTAGAACTCGGCCGTACATCTTTGTACTCAAGAGGAGGTTCTGGCACTTTAGGAATACATTGGGCAAACTCCCCCGGGGCAGGCTAACTGCCACCAGATTCCTAAAACCACCTGCAAATTTAGTTCTTGTCTGGGACCGGAAAGCGAAGGACGCACCTCCGATTTTGACTGTGAAATCCTCGGCCACCATGCAATTGCGGGCCGCGAGGTCTCTGTGGACAAACTTGTTGGCGTTGAGGTATGCCATGCCGTCGGCAATCTCGCCAGCCATCTGGATCATCTTGCTCAGACTGGGAGGTTCCAGGACTACGTTCTTCTGCTGCAGACGAAAAAGAAAAATTCGTGTGAATACTTAGGGGGGAAAAAGATTTGATTGTGTGCTTTCAGTTCCTGAAGGGGGCTTTGCAAATCCATCTTTGTTCAATCTGAGAGCGTCACAGGTGCTTCTGCTCAGAAACCAGGATTCGCTCTGAAGGAACCTATTATTTTTGGAGCCCACAGTGTCCGCTTGGTGGTTGGCCCTGTGCTCAACCGCTGAGCAAACGTACAGGCCTCTCAAGAAAGCACCAATGAGCACCAGTTGGAACTGGCATTTTCTGAGAATCACTGAACATGAAGCAAGTAATAGTTTTTTTTTTTTTTGGATGTGAAGGATTCTCATTAAGATTACAATCAGCTGGTATTTTTCCTTTGATTTCCATAATCAAAGTTGAGGAAAAGGGAGAAGACATGTGATGGAGGTCCCACAGAACAGGCAAGCGTGTGCCCCAAATGGACCATGCCTGCTTTACTTCCCAGGGAGGCGCCCTAAGAATGATTTCATCTTCTCCTTCCCCACCTGCTTTCTTCTAATGTACAAAGCTACCAAAGATCACCATCTTCGTCTTGGATTATTGCTTTCTGTGGACATGAGGGCAACAGAGGATCAGCCCTAAACTCACTTCAAAGGTAAATGTGTGATCAGTGACATGGACAAGTAGCCCTTTTTCAGAAGATAGCAACATACTGGCTTTGAATTTAAAAATGACCCCTAAGTTGGTGGGCGCTAGTGGCTCACACCTATAATCCTAGCCACTCAGGAAGCTGAAATCTGAGGGTCCATAATAGTCTAATCTAAAAATCAACTAGTAAAAGCTAGAAGTGACTCAAGTGGTAGAGCACCCCCAGCTTTGAGAGAAAAAGCCAATGGGCAGTTCTTCTGAGTTCAAGCCCCAGTACCGCCAACCCCCCCCCACCCCCATAATCTGACAAATTCAGAGGAGGATTTCAGATCTGAAAAGGACTTGAGCGAACACTTCAAAACCTTCTTCTATTATACAGTGAGGAAACTGAGACCCAGAAACCTGGATTGGCTAGCTGAGGACTCCAGGTAAGACCACCGCTAAGACTTGAGTTCTTATTCTGTGCCTAGATTGGGGACAAAGGAGTGAGCACAACCTGCTTTTCCAAAGTGCCACAGATGAGGCAGGCGGTTCATTTGGCCACACCTCGGGTCACCTTCCTGCCAGCTTGTGGATTAGAGAGGACCAGGCAGGAAAAGGCAATGTCATGCAGGGGTCCTAGGGACCAAGGCTGGGAGCAGAGGCTAGGAGACTGACTTGTCAATTACCTGGCTCAGACCCTTGGGGCTCTCACAAAACCCCAAACACCATGTGTTATAAATAAATGAGGTCATTTGTGCTTGGAGCTAAAGGGAAGGGACTGTCACTTGGGAGATGATTAAGTTGTAGGTTAAAAGAAGAAAAGAAGAAGTTCAACAGAATGACAAGAGAAACATAAAAGGGGTCAGAGGGACTAACTCTTTCTAGGGAACGCAGGCAGATAGATGAACTCTACCCCCGTGAGTAGCAAAGTCAGGGTCTCAGGAGACTTGAGACCTAGCAAGGTGGCCCAATGCAAAGCAGCTGCTTTTGGCATTCTTTCTCATGTACCTCCTGACTTAAGAGTTCATGATGTATAAAAGCCAGTCTTCCACGTGTTAAGAAGCTGGCTTGTGGTATGACAGGAGAGAACTGGGGTCCCACAAGGACTGGTGGGAACTCGCACAGGACTTGAGCAAGATTTGAATTAGAAGTTTTTACAGGTTGAGGTGACTATTATTCAAAAACACAGGATCCTGCTTGATCTGTGGATGGAGAATATGAGAAAACTTGCCTCCTGGTTGTGAAGGCACAGCCCCTTGGCAGGGCTGGGAAAGTCTGTGTGGCAGGAAATCACTCCTGCAACTTCCCAGGAGTACAGTGAAGGATCTAGCCAGCCGAACACCAAACTGTCCAAACTACTTATGGGGTAGGCGCTAGCCTGGCCTGGCCAGGGACTATGAGATGCCAGAGAGGATGGAGTACTCCAGAACCCCAAGCCCCTGTCAGGAAGATCTAGGTCTGCCTGCACTTGGGAAATCCTTGACAGCAGAGAGTGTTCACAAACACTCAACGTCCAAAGAGTGAAGCGATTTAAAGATACAACGTATTGTCTCCTCCCTCCCCCCCACCCCCACAGGTGGTAAAGGAAAACAGAACAGAACAGGTGAGGTCATATGGTGAAAAGTGAAGACTGACCTCTGTTTCCGGCCTCAGAGACCTGAGGTAACTTTTGAGATCGCCCCGGGTCATCAGTTCCATGATGACCAGCGTTGGCTGGCCCTGGGACACCACGCCCAGCAACCGCACCTGGGAAAAGTCAAAAACGAGAAAGTTGGACATTGCTTTGCAGTGTGGTGCTGGGGTCTGGTGGCTGGGTCCAGGGCTAAGTAGGGGAGTTGGCAACAGGGTAGCTATCTAGAAGGCAGAGGGCAAGACATCAATCCCCACAGGCTGGGCCGTGGGGGAAGGAGGAGGGGGAAGGGGAACACATGAGGGAATCTCTACAGGACTCTGGCTTTCTGAAGACCTTCTCTTACCACGTGGTGACAATTGAACTCCTTCATCACTGAGGCCTCATTGAGAAACTCAATCCTTTCCCGCATGCTGGCTGCCTCATTCACCGTCTTAATGGCCACTCTGGTTTCAGGCTCATCTTTAACCACACCCTTAGCCACGCCTTCATAGACCATCCCAAAGGACCCTTGCCCAAGCTCCCGGTTCATGGTGATCTTCTCCCGGGCTACCTCCCACTCATCAGGAATGTACACTGGAGAAGAAGAAACAGGATTGAAACAGGTCTAGGAATAAACACTGGGGCCCACCCCATGTAGCCTTGGGGAGGGGTGGCGGGAAGGGGACACTGCAGGCTGGAGAAGATGAGATGGCATTTCCTAAAACCCACAAAAGAAAAGATCAGGAGGACTGTGGTCTGGCTTGTTCCCCACATGCTATGGATTTTGGTAAAACTGTGGGTGGTTAGGTATGGGTTCTCTTAAATCTTGGGAGAATTCTAGGATAATTCCCGGAACACAAAGACAGGTTATCAAAGATACAGCCCGGGCCAAAGGTCTCTCAAAATCATGCAAATGGCTTCCCCAAAGAGCAACCCTCCATGACCTTGACAGTGACCTTGGCTGGCACCCTTACCATCTGCTGCACTGAAGTACTCTGGGTTCACAGAGGCATAGAGCACTCCGTTGCCCAGCCTACTGTTATTCCTGTTTAAAAAAAAAGAAAAAGAAAAAGAAGAATTTCAAATTAAAAGACTTCATCTCTATATATTTCTAGAAATACTTTCATATTCTGTCTCTGTCTTCCCCCCTCTTTGGGCTGGTCTTGGGACTTGAACTCAAGGCCTTGCACACTCATTTGGCTTTTTAGCTCAAAGCTGGTGCTCTACCAACTGAGCCACAGCTTCACTTCTAGTTTTTTTTTTGGGGGGGGGGCTAATTGGAGATAAGAATCTCATAAACTTTCTTGCCTAGGCTGGCTTTCAACTAAGATCCTCATTCAGATCTCAGCCTCCTAGGTAGCTGGGATTACAGGAGTGAGCCACTGGCACCTGGCTTAATTCTTACATTTTTGCTATATCCATTTTATCTGTTCTGCCTCATAAACTATCCTGAGGGACAGTACAGAGGGTAGACTGGTAGTGAGTTTTCCCATTTACCCTCTCAACTTGGTTCCTACTAGGCCAGCAGACATTTGAAGACAACATTCACTGAGCTCAGGAGAGCACAGAACCATTTGTTTCTTGGCTTCATTGGAAATTACAAGGCTTACTTGATGAGGAGGACTTAGCTAGCACACTTGGAAAAGTTCTCTATAAGCCAAAGTCTCGGTATGTGCCCGAACTACCAGTGAGGTGAAGATGGGCACTCAGTGCGTGTGTGGTGTGGGGTGGGGTGGAGTGGAGAAGACATCCCACCACAGAACAGTCTGATTCCCGTGAAGGACACTGGACTGGAAATCAGGTTTTCCAATCTGTACATTGTCTCCAAAAGATAACCTTTGCTCAAGTTCAAATTATAAAACCACCTGGCCACCAAAGTTACCTGCACCTGGCTGAGACCCTCACCTCTTTCTGTGGAAGACGTACAGCATGATCACCAGACCCCCCACGATCAGGACGATGGCCACGGGCAGAGCAATGATCAGGTGCATGAAATTTTCATAGGTGGCTGCAGGAGGAAGGGGAAACCGATACGATGTCATTGGAAGAACCATTTGCTATGTGCTATGCTTAACAATGCGTGCGTGCGTGCGTGCGTGCGTGCGTGCGTGCGTGTGTGTGTGTGTGTGTGTGTGTGTACTAGGGCTTGTACTCAGGGATTTATGCTCTCCCGTTTTTGTGTGTTTTTCTTTTTTTGCTCAAGGCTAGTACTTGACCACTGAGCTAAGCTCCACTTCCAACTCCTTTTTGGTTGGAACTATGCAAACAACAACAACAGCAACAACAAAAATCCCTGAAAATTCCTTTACTAAGTAAATGGTATCAGAAACACACTAAACCAACAGTTATATGAGGGAAGGTTAAGTAAGTACAGACTGAATAGGAACTCATTTTTTAAAGTGCAGGCTATTCTGATAGCTCAAATGATAGACTGAAGGAAAATAATCTTTGAATGCCACTAAATGACTCAGTGGAAATGCATACATTTGCTGAAATAAAAAGGACAGAGACTCAGCTCTAGAGTGTTCACACCTCATTGACCTTTATCTGTCTCAAGATAGTTCCACAATGTATACACATAGACCCAAGCGTGCGCATGCATGCACACACCATCCCTTGCCAATTCTGCTCTGAATTTCCCACAAACATTTGAAACTACAGAACTTGTCACAGCCCTTGTTCCCACCATTTATACAATAGATGAAAGACGAGGCTGGACACTGGAGATTCAGGTCCTCACGCCTGAAGGTTCTGCGAGATGCAGGAATCAGCATGTCAACAGGTAGAAGAAAGTGAACCACCAAAGGATGCAGAGAGAGGAGGAGGGAAGACACAAGAGACAAGGGGTGCTAAGGGAAGTTCCTTCAGCCCAAGTCTTGGAAAAAAAGAAAGATGGACTTTTCCTGGGGTACATGGATTTTTTTCCCCCCCCCTAGCAGAGGGATGGTTTGGAGATAACAATGGGGCATGGACAGGGAGAGTCAAACTAAGTGTACAAACTAAGTGATTACAACACCATTCTGCAGATTAAAAGGGGTCAGTGTTTTTAAAATCAGCAGTGAACTGATCATCATACTCATACCCTGGACAGAGAGGGGCTCTTGGCCACTGCCAAGTCTTGGAGAGTTGGGGAGAACATGTCACATCGCCTGGGCATGTCTCATGAAATCTCTGCTCCTTTTCCTTTGTTCTTGTAGACGGGGTTTAGCTAGCTGGCCCTGAAGTCACTGTGTACTCCAGGCTGGTTTCAATCTCACGATCCTCCTGCCTTAAAATCCTGGTGCCAGGATGGCTCGGTAGGCATGCCCTACCAAGCCCAGAGCACTGCTTATTTTCCACAAACAAGCAAGCCCACAGAGATGACTTGACTTTTTCACAATCACATAGGCAGCTGACAAGTCATGGGCCCTACATGGAAGTCCCACCTTACTGAAGTCACAGCTTATAATAATCCCATGACACAAAGCAACCCAGTGGCTCTAAGCTACAGTGCTGGTGGTAGCAATGGAGAGGCTGCAGAGAAGGAAGGGGGAGGGACAGCGATGAGATCGCTTACTTGGGTGGCTAATGGGTAATACCACCATAGAACAAGTTAAAGAATGGAGGACAGCAGGGAATTCTAAGGTAGTATTTGATTTTTGAAGTAGTACCTGTTGGACACACATTTGGAAATATCTACTTGGAAATACTTGGACTAAGGTACAAGGATTACAAGTCATTTACCAAGATTTTTTTTTCACTACACACTAGTATTATTCTTAACTTTTTCAATACTATTAAAGTTTCATTAATTTTTAAGATTAATGTTTTAATCAAGTAGATTTCAAATGGAATAGTTTTATGAGTCTTGTAATTCCTGAAAATCCTCACCTCAGAGATCAATGCCAATTTGAAAAAGGTGGAGGTTTTTCCATTTTTTCTACCCATCTGTCCCTCAAGAACTGTTTCTTATGCTTGTACCACTTACTCTACTTGGTCAGACTGTACCGTGTTCTCATTGAGTTTCACATTTCAACAAGGACATGGAGAAACTGGAACACATCCAGAAGAGCAAAGTGACTAAATGGCTAGAAAATTGGTTGGAGCGACTGGGCTCTAAGAAAAGACCAAAAGACCCGAGAAAATTCAATCTGTAGATGAGAAGTCTGAAGGATAATTTAATAGACTTGAAGCATACAAAGAGTTCCTAAAAAGACAGAAGGTTCCAGAAAGCTCTCAAACCCTCTGTCTCCTCAGAGATGTAAACATGAGGAAATGTACCTAAACTGTCACAGGAAAGCCTTGCCCCACACCAGGAAGCAAAGCCAGCACACGCTTTGCATCTCCCTGCCGTACAGCCAGCTTCCACGGCAGAACTCCAGGGGCTCACGGTCACAAGGCATCAGAAAAGGCCATCAGGGAACAGGTCCTCTCTCAGGAAGAGACAAGCTCACTAATGGCCAGAAAACAAGGCTGCAGACCACAGCCCAGTGCCAGACCTCCACATCTAGGCTCAGTTCCTAAGGGACAGATGTGGGGGTAGAGGGGGAAAAGGGTGAGAGAGAAAAACACTACTCTGGAGAGGGTGCTAGATAGGTCTTCCCAAAGCTCTATGTGTCAAAGGCTTGGTGGCCAGGCTGTGGTGTGGTGGTTTGGGAGGTGGGGCTTAGTGGGAGGGAGTTAGGCCATTGGCAGGGAGGTGAAAGGGAGGGTCCTGGCAGGGGACTTGGCGGGATTCTGATCATGAATTGAACTGCTAGAGTTCCTGAGCAAAAACAAACCTTTCTTCCTTGTATATTAATTATTTCTGGTATTTTATCACAGTAATGGAAAGCTGATTAATACAATGGTTAGCTAACCAGTAAGACTAGTTACGGGGACTACACAGGAGAACTTGGGTTATTTCAAGGAACAAAATTACCTGCCTAAGTAGCTTCTTATCCCTAAAACCTGAATCCAGGCATAGGCCGGTGAGCACCAGGTACATGAAATGCTGGCTTCCATTTTGCAATGCTATCCAAGCCATCCTTCTGCTATCCGTCTCTAGGAGGATTTTCAGCTCTCAAGCATCTCTTTGAGCACCTGGTGCTAACTAGGTAGACTAGAAGAACATTTTTTTTTCTTTAAACTTTTACTTATTCTGATACATGAAAATTTTATACACAGCATCCATTAATCACATATGGCATGTTTTGAAAATATATGTTGAATAACATAAGCACTACTTCATATTCTTATGTGTGGGGAGAGGAAACACCAAGCACTGTTCTCAATATTCAAGACTCTGTTGATATGAATGGCAGCCTGTCACACAATTGAACTAACTTTAAGTTTTGTGTCCTTGACTAGCATCTCCTCAACTTTTTTTCACCATCCATATTTCAAAAATAGTATACCGTTCTGTTTTGTTTGCAATGTTACAAAATTCAGTTTGGAATCTGATGATGTCCCACAGAATGCCTTCCAAGAACCCTGTCCTAGGGTCTGAACAAAGCTTGTAGCATTCCCCATTAGACTTGGTGCAGAACCATGAGCACAATATTCAACGCAAACTAGTGCTTTCTGTGATTCTGTATTTTACCAACTGGCAGGCAAGCTTGGGGGAGTGGGGAGACCAAATGACAGCCCTGGTTCCAGTCACCTCTTAGGATCCAGGCCCTTTAAATGTGTGCCTAGTGAAAGGCAGGGGGTGGAATGGTCCATGGAATGCTTGGTAAATGCTTGGGAAAAATGCTTGGGAAAGTCAGGGTCAAAGCTCTCCAGTGCTTAGTCCATGCCCCAAAGAAGGGTTCTTCAACTCTGTCACGTGAGGTAAGAACCCATGGCTCAGCGTGTCCCAAGTGTGTTATAAGGCCCTGTTCCTAGCACACAGTTTTCTGAGTCCCTGCCAGAAAGTTTTACCACACCACTCCCTTCACAGGCCTTACTTTTGGCTGGGACATAGAAGAACACAGGATCTGTCCACGACCCATTTCCAGAGAGAGAGGTAGCCTGAATTCGGGCGGTGTAGTTCCCTGGGTTTAGCCGGTTAAGCCTGGCCCCTCCATACTTCCTGTATTCCTGTCTGGACACACATTCCCGCTGGTCCTGGGGAAATAAGACATTGGTGTCATGTTCCTACGGTCAAGGAGAGATCTGGAACCTGCCAGTTCAGCTTGCCACACTGTTCAACATCTGACTACCCACTGAACAAAGATCTTCATTATCAATAATGAGAAAAGCCAAGACTTAAAAAAGGTAGCCCTCACTAGGCACTGGCGGCTCATGCATATAATCCTAGCTATTTAGGAGATTGAGATCTGAGAGATAGTGCCTAAGCCCTGAGTTCAAGCCCCACAACCACAAGAAGAAAACAAAAGGCAGCCCTCATGGGAAGATAAATCACACCCAGAAATTGTAACCAAACATTGATTGGAACTAAAAAAGAACTCAGGAAAATTGAAAGTTATTAAGACTGCCAGGCCCTGTTGGCTCATGCCTGTAATCTTATGTAGGAGGCTGAGATCTGAGGATCTCAGTTCAAAGCCAGCCTGGAAAGACCCTGAGACTCTCCTATCTCCAATTAACCAGCAAAAAGCCAGAAGCGAAGCTGTGGCTGAAGTGGTAGAGTGCCATTCTTGGGGGGGGGGGGGGGGAAAGTAGAGCACACCTAGAAATTATAACCAAACTTTGTAACTAAAAAGAACTCCAGAAGAATTAGGAGTTTTTTAAGACTGATCTAGACTATGGCATAAAGTCATTCTCTACAATAAAAACTGTAGAAATATAGCCTGGCTACTTGTAGGTTTTGGGCTGTTGGAAAGACAAAAATCCTCACAGACTGAGCTAAGAAACAGGTAACAGGTAACTTGTGGTATACCCAACACATGCTATCAATTGACACAGGTACAGCCCCTCTTACCTCCACCTGGGAGCCGTATTTGATCTCATACATCAGAATGAGTCCATTTGGGTTCTCAGGTTCTGGCCACTTTAAAAAGATGGAGTTCTCTGGCCTTGGTTCCCAGGTGACCGGTCCAGGAATGTCATCTGCTCCTTCTGCATGGAAGTGTAAAGAAGTGATAACGTTGGGTTTGGGTCCTCAGGCAGGGAGACCACACCTGAGCTAAATGGAATATAACCCTCCCAGTCCACATACACAGGACTGTGTGCTGTCACCAAGTGGCCTCTCCTCCAGAAAGGACCACTCACACACCAGTGACCTGAACCCCTCTCATGCTATTTTCCCTTCTAAGACTGTGATCTGTACAAGAGAAAATCCCTGGACATCTAGTAACTTTTTTTCTTTGATTCTGCTTCTAAGACTTGAAGAAAGCATCTGTCAGGGGATGGGTGGCAGTGGCTCATACCTATAATCCCAGCTAGCTAGGAGGTTTGTATTTTGAGGCCAACCTGGTCAAAAACACATTATCTGCAAACTATAATAAAGTGGGAGAGGGCCTGAGGGCAGGGCTCAAGCAGTAGAGCAGCTGCCTAGCAAATGTGAAGACCTAAAACCCCATGGCCACATATACTACCCCGCCCCCTACCCCCACCCCAACCCCGCAAAAAAATAGGAAAGAAAGATTCCATCTAACACAGCAACAGCACCACTGAAAGCACTGAGCTGAAGCGGCGTGGAGCCTGTAGGATCCACTACAGGGTTCACTCAGGTTCACATCATACATGGCAGCCATAGCTTCCCAGTAGGCTAGACACCAAGCCAACCTGGGGGGGAAGCAGAAAGCAAGGGAGCCACCTCTGCCGCCGTCACCTCCTTCAGCTACTGCTGACCTTGCAAGGTGGTGAGCCAAAGTCACAGACCGTTACAGCTGAGAAGGGCATCTCTTCTCCTAGGTGGGCTGGGAAAAATGACCCTCACAGGAGGTGAGAGGGTCACCCTAAGAGATGTAGTAGCGTGTGAGCGTCAGAACCACACTCAGGAGGGCTCTCTGCCCATACACTTATCACCTCCACACTTTCTCTTACCTGACGCCTCTTGTGAGAATGAGGACTGGGTAGTTCAGTTCTCTTTTAAGGAGGCTGAGTGGCTGCCTGAGCCCCAGACAGTGTCCAATTTACAGTGGACAAACAAGATAAAATAAACAGGGCTACAGGCTACTCCAGGAGCTGACTTTAAGGAATGACGGTCTTGGATCAAGTCAGCTGCTAACTGATTGTTGCCCAAAAGTCCATGTGTTGAAGACTTGGTCTCCAGCCTGTGATACTTTTAGGCAATTTAGAACCTTTAGGAGGTGGGGCCCAGTGAGAGGAACATAATGGAGGACATCAGGCTCCTCTGGTTTTTCCTTCATGGTTGCCATGAGGTATCAGAGTTTCCTCTACCATGGTGTGCTGTCGCCTAGCCACAGGCCCCAAAGCCAACGAGGAATCAAGCAACCATGGATTAAAACTTCTGAAACCGTGAACCAAAAGAGTACTTTCTGTTTTGTGAGTTGATTATCTCAGATATTCTGTCACAGTGATGGAAAGCTAACTCATACAGTGGCTAAGTGAGGATGGCCCTGAATCTGGATAAATGCAGGAGGGAATGGACTCATCAATCACAACAGAAATGGGGCAAAGGGTTTATAGGTACAAATGGGCTGTGCAAAATAAACCAAATACATAACCCAAGTTGAGAGGAAGGAACCCTAGGGAGAGATAGAGAGTATTTTCAATAAGGAGAATAAGGAGGGAAGGAAACCAATGTAAATGTAAGTGTTCCTTTCCCCAGGCAACTGGTCGACCCATGCTGACTATCAGTGATCACAGGTTCATCAGCAGAACTGGGTCTAAGGGTGGTTAAGTTGGGGATATGACTACTGGATCACTCCATACCTGCAGGCATGGTTCTTGCAAAGACAAAGTTGGAGGCGCTGCAACCTAACTTCTCAGCCTCGTGGTTACAGCTGTGAATATCGATGCGGTACAAAGTGAAAGGCTGGAGGTTCGAAATGACAGTTCTCTCTTTGTTATCCACTCTGCTCTCAAAGAAAGGGTATTCTGTCTCCACCTCTTCTGGGTCTGTGATATTGTAGACGTCCACCACTGTGGCATTCCTGCTCCGGCTGGACATGGTGGTGTTGGCCACCTGCATGATGTCTCTCCGCTTCCTTTCAGGTCTGCAAAGGAAGAGAGAAGCTTGGCTCATAATATGGTTTCCTCTGAATCTTTTTGTCTTTAACTAGGGTAAGAGAAATAGAAAAGAAAATTCTCGACCTTGGAATAAGAGGAACTATTCAGGGCTCCTTGGAGAAGAACCAGCAAGGAACAAGGGGATTTCCTTCTTCATTATTTACCTGTCTTTCTTTACTCTACACCCAGAGAATCACCACACATCCTCTCCTTGGCTCCCAGAGTGATTTCTCAATGATACCAGGAAGCAAAGAATGCCTCGGATACTGTTAGCTGGGCTGTGTACTGTTTCATTAGCATGCTGTGCCACGTGGCCACAGACATTATGGTTGAGCATTAAAAAGATAATCCAACTAGCTGTACTAAGATTCATTAGAGGCCAAGGGAGAGTTTGTTAGGGAAGACATCAGACAAAAAGGTTTCATTCAAAGGCCTGTTACAGTGGCTCCTTTGATCCTCTTTGAAATTAAGTAAAGAAGTCCTAGCAAGAGCAGCAAAGCAAATGCCTGAACCCCAAGGTCTTTCTGTTATTCCAACATGTCCCTGGTGTGCGCTTCAGTCAGGATCTTGAGCTCCACCACTTGAGCCAGGCCCTCAGCCCTTTTTTGTTTTCTGTTCACTCTTTCTGATGGAGTCTTGTGCTTTTGCCCTTGTTGGCCTTGGACTGCTCTCCTTCCATCTCTGTCTTCTACGCAGCAAGGGATTGGAGGTAGGTATCACTAGTCCTAGCCCATCCTGTAGGTCTTCTGAGCCTGGCTTTGTCTCCTACTCAGCAATAGGTGCCTGTGGCTTCCCCCAGGTCCCACCAATGAGAGGGGTAAAGTCCTTGTCCTTGAACTTAAGGAGGACTGAGAAACAGCAGCCACAACAGAGAAACAGAAGGGAACATATGCAGTCCCCATGGAAGGGTACTGCCACCCACCAGGGCAGATGAAGACATCATCTTCCAATTGCTGACTTACTGTCGAATACAGAAAATAGGCTTTGGAGCTCTTCCAGAAACATCCGAAACAGGATCTTAGCATTACAGGAATGAAAGAAATCAAACAGAACATGGAAGAGGTGCCTAGACAGGGGAATGGCAACTTTGGGGCCAGCCATGGATGGATGGAGGGAAAATAGGCTGCTGGCAGGTGTGCTTCATGGTGTAAATGGGCAAAGCGAGGTGGGCAGAGAGAGAGAGAAGGGGATGAACTTTCTCTCTAATAATCTAAGAAAATGAAGAAGCCTAGCCAGGAGAAGGTTCATGAGTCTCCAGTATTAGAGGAGAAACACAGTATGGAGCCAAAGTCACCTAAGGAGGAGCACCCTGGAAACCATGTAGAGGCTGAAGTACTTTGCCAAAATCTGAAAGAGGAAGTTGGGACAGGGCTAGTGGCTCCTCAGTCTGCTGGATCCCTGGAATCACCTACAAAAGTATGGCCCTTCACTGGATGGGGCTGAAACTAAAGGCTGAAACTGGTCAACACAGCTGGGTACTGCGGCTCACACTGTCATCCAAGCTACTCAGGAGGCTAAGATTAGGGAGGATCAAGGTTCCAAGGCAGACCACACAAGAAGTCTGCAAGACCTCGGGCCAACCAATAAAATCTGGACATGGCATGCACCCCTGTTATCCCAGCTTCAGGACTTTTGCCCAGGGGAAACACGTGGGGAAAAAGCAAGAACCTCTCTCAAACATAATCAGGGCCAAATGGTAGAGAACCAACCCGTCAAATGCAAGGCCTTGAGTTCAAACCTTGGTAATGGCAAAACCAAACAAAAGCCACCTGACACAGATAGGTTTGTCCAAAGTGAGGAAGCAACAAGGTCAGGGGCAAATGCATCTGTTTTCACAATGCTGGGGAAGAAAGGGTTAGGAAATGAGGCCTCTCATCTACCATCCTCACACCCTGCAAACTGACCAGTTAGGAAGGAGAAAAAAACAACAAAACCACATCTGTTGCTAGGGATATCCTTTCAACACATTACCAATAAGTTTCCTGCCTTTCTTTCAAGACCAACGGAACACAAACTCGTGCCTACAAATCAGAAGTTGCCTGGGCTTGGTCTGCTGCAAAGTAATAAGCCTGCTTGTCCACCACTACGACACACCCTTATGCTGTCTACTTGATTATCAGCACTCATTGTGGAGACTGTTCAGCAGTCAGAGCTGACACCAAGTTGGAGATTATGAGAAGGCATCCACACTGAACTTTAATAGGAAGGCAGGGGTGGTGTAAGCAGAGTGGTCTGTATGTAACACTGTGCCAATGGCTACGTTCCAAATGGTAGGACTAAACCTTACTGCCAACTTTCCTCATTCCCCTCTGACACAACCCACTTGCATTGGAAAACCTGCTACTTCTCAACACCTGTCAACATCTTAGTTAAACCAAACTACTTGATTTGGCAAACAATGATGGTTGCCGCTGAAAGGTATTTACTAACAAGCATCCATCACAAAGAACAACTCTAGCATCCATTCTGCTTCCAATATGCCTGACATGTTGGACAAATGGAGGAAACTACGTCTGACTTATTTGAATTCAGCCCCCCCAAATAATTTGTTCTTTGAAAGGATTGAAATCAAAATAGGATTTGGTAATTTAGTTGTAAAACAACCACAAAAAACCATGAAACAACAATAACAACACACACACACAAAAGGCAAAATGAAAAAAAAAAAGCAACCAGACTTGATGATTCATTCCTTCTGTCATCTGGACAACTCTTTTACGGGAATCTTGTCAAAGCTTGTACAAAGGTCGATTTATGCCTTGGTCGGAGGCAAACAAACAAACATTAAGTTCTCATAAATAGTGATGACTCACACGGATGAAACCTGGTATCTCTTTTCATGCATGTGAAATCTGCTTTATGGGGGAGGGGGATCTCAGGCTGAGAGGATGGATGGGTACATGCATTCATCACATGGGGTACGGCAAAGAGAAAACACATTTGAACAACAGGAACACTGTGCATTAGCAATATCTGGTCCATACACATCTGTGTTGCCACTGTCACTGGGACTCCATGTCCACTGACAAAATAAAGGTACCATCCACTAGCAGTTCCTGTGTGCAATCCACAGGGCAAGAGGAAGAAGTTGTGGAACCTTTAAGATATGGAGCACTTGGAGGGACACTAAGGACACTGCTCTCAGAAGGAATTAACACTGGCCTTGAGGAGAGTCAGTGGCTTTCAGGAGAACTTGTTGTTATAAAAGAAGGTCACAACTACCCATCTCTGGCTTCCCACCTGCTCTGAATGCTCTCCCTCTCACAAGGGCTGTGTATAGGATCTCATGAGCAGAGGTGACGCTCCTAAACCTCCACAAGTGTGAGCTTGACATACTGCCCAGCTTCTGGTATTTTGTTACAACAGAAAACTGATGACTAGCGCCTTCTAAATCTTTCACGCAGTAATCTGGACCTCTGATAGGCTAGGTCATGAACCAATCACCAGTCACCTTGGATGGAGAACTAAAAGACAACTTCAGAGGGCCATTCTACACTCATCTGTTCCCATAGCAATGGGAACTGTTTTGTTGCTGAGCCTCCACTAGCCTGGATGGAACGGACTACAGGAAGATTACAACCAAGAGAAAGAACTTCAGTGTGTGGGAATGTGGGATTGAGACCCACAGAGAGGTTATCAGTCCCACTGAGTTATGGCTGTCAAATACTTTTGAGCTCTTTCAGACTGTAGGAAAAACACGTGATCTGTAGGTAGCACAGAAAAGAAAACAGTGGTGCACAGTAACCTACAGCTAACACCTGAACAGTAGGCCCACAGGCCCACAGGAACAGCCCCAGGGAAGCAAGAGGGAGAGCCAGCCACCAGCTTAAGTCATCTTTTGTGGCTCCTTCTGCATGGCTGTGTTGTGGCCCACAGTACTTGGTGGAGTTTACCTGCCCAAGGAGCACTACCTGCACGTGTTTTGCAAGGACAGATGTACCTGGGCACAAAGATTGAGTTGTGCAGGAAATTCTCAAAGACTTTGCGGTACTCGGCCTCCTCCTTCTCAGCTTGCTTCTCAGCTTCCGTTTTGGGGCAAGTGCAGCAGGGTCCTTTCTCCCCGCCACACACCTCTGTGTTGGGATTCTCCGTCACCTCCTCCACGTCGATGGTGCCATCGGCATATTTCCTAATGGGGATTTTGTCTTTCGGGAAAAGAGAAGCCGAGAGGAGAATGGGAATGAGAGCTGGGTGTAACACAGCTTGGGAGGAAATGAATAACTGTCTGGTTCCCCTAAAGTCAAGGAGTGGACTGGAGCCAGGTGCTGTAATATACACCTGTAATCCTAGCTACTCAGGAGGCTGATATCTGAGGGTCATGGTTCGAAGTTAGTGTGAGCAGAAAAGTCTATAGGAACCTTATTTCCAATTAGCAAGCCAACAGCCTCAAGTGAAGGTGTGGTTCAAATGGTAGAGCACCCGCCGTGAGTAAAAAAACCCAAAAAAACAAAAAACAAGAGAAGCTTTAATTTCAAGCCTCAGCATTGGCACAAAAGAAAAGGAAGGGGAGGGAAATAAAGAGTGGGGGACTGATTTCTAGGACAAGGAACTAGACTGTCACTGGATGGGTGTGACCCGGAGGTCCGGCCAGGTGTGCCTCCCCTTGGAGGTCGGCACTCCCTTACCTTTGGAGCAGTAGTTGTGCCGGTACAGGTAGCCGTCCTGAGGCTGCCGCTGCCACCTCACGATGTAGTAACTCAGGTTGCCATTGGGCAGGGATGGTGGATTCCACTTTACTATCAGCTGAGAGGAGGAGTTCGAAGCCGAGAGGACATCCAGTGGAATGGAAGGAACTGGAAAGGCAAAGGAGGCCCATTTCAGAAGCTGGAAGGAGCCTAAGGTTGGGGCAAACCAATAGGAAGCTGCGAGTCTGGCTGGGTTAGGCAGACAGACAGCAGTAAGCCCTGGCAGGCAAGGTGAAATCTGAGCCTTCTGTGTCCCAAGAGTATTCCTTTAAGCACCAGTAGGTCTTCGTTCCCAGCATCTCTGCTCAGGTTATCCTCTGCAAGCAAACAGTCCGACTCTAAGTGGAAGAGGTTTGTGGGGAAGGGCATGGCTACAGTTATAACAGGTGACTTCAAGTCTACAGTTCATTCAAACCGTGGATTTTTTTTCTCATTTACTACATGTGCCAGGCTCCCAAAATATTGAACAACCTCAGCAGGCTTAAGTGATGGTGAATCTGACTGATTTGAACCTCATCTCAAGATTTTTTTTTTTTTTTCAGTCTGATCAAAATGGCAAGAAGACAACGGAAAAGCAGAAGGAGTAAGAGGGCTGGAGAGCTCGTGTGCATGTGTGTGTGTTGAGTGTGCCAACATGCAAGTGTTCATGGAAATTCACCCATTCTGTAATCCACCCTCAGTGAATGACTGAGAGGCAGCCATAAAAGCACAAACACGTGGGAATACACATTTTAGCAAATGATTTGACTACCAGCAAAAAAGAATACTGCTATAAAGGCAAAGCACAATAATCCAACCAAACTGCTGAGTAATAACACCCAAATTCAACCCAGACCATATTGAGTTCATCAAAAAAAAAAAAGTAGAAGAGGGGCTGGGAAGGTGGCTCAGTGGTAGAGCGCTTGCCTTGCATGCATGAGGCCCTGGGTTCCATTCCTTAGCACCATATAAGCAAAAAGAAAAAAAGCCAGAAGTGGCGCTGTGGCTCAAGTGGTAGAGTGCTAGCCTTGAGCTGAAGAGATGAGGGACATTGCTCAGGCCCAGAGTTCAGACCCCACGACCGGACCCAAAAAAGAAGAAGAAAGAAGAAGTAGGAGGAAGAGGAGAAGGAGGGGGGAGGAGGAGGAGGAGGAAGAGGAGGAGGAGGAGGAGGAGGAGGAAGAGGAGAAGGAGGAGGAGGAGGAGGAGAAGAAGAAAGAAGCACCAATTCTGACACTCTTTCTGAAGTACAAGAGAGATGTCACTCTATGTTGCTTAAAAAACAGGCCAGACTAAGTTGTTTTGAAGCGTATAGAGGGCCAGTCAGCATCAGGAGCTACAATATGCACAAGGCTCTGAACACTTCTAAAGGACGATGCTTTGTGGAAAAGGGTTTTTTTTTTTGTTGTTGTTTTCTTCACCAGTTGCTGATCTAGAGAAGACAGAACGACTGGATGTTCAACCATTTTAGGGTTTCCAAAAATAAGTATTTCAAAGTGAAACAGCTTATCCCTAGATATTGCAATGAAAAGTGTCACCAAAAAGAAAAGAAAACAAAACAACAAAAAGCAGAGGTAGAGGGCCCAGTTCCTCTGTGTCTCTAGTGTTAGAAAGGACAGTGGTGGGGCTGGGAAGGTGGCTCAGTGGGGCCCTGGGGTCGATTCCTCAGCACCACATAAGCAAAAAGAAAAAAGCCGGAAGTGGTGCTGTGTCTCAAGTGGTAGAGCGCTAGCCTTGAGCTGAAGAGCTGAGGGACAGCGCCCAGGCCCAGAGTTCAGGCCCCACGACCAGACTTCCCCCCACCCCCCCAGCCAAAAAAAAAAAAAGACAGCAGCTAAAACTGACTCTAGTCCCTGGCTTCATCTTTGGGAAAAAGGAAACAGATTTCTTACAAAATTTCTCGATTTCTATTTTTCCTAGATTTGCTGCAATGATTTACCTTTCCGAAGTTAAGATAAAGAAAACTGATTTCTGTAACTTCTGTCACATCTGACCAACCCCTGAGACTATGACAAATTTATTTCTATAAACACTTCAGGATTGATGACCTGACAGTGGCCTCTCACCGAGTCACAGAAATGGGCAGAGGAGGGGGGGGGGGCGGGGAGAAGCAGACTCCTCACCATTCCGCCCACCGCCCCCCCCCCCCCCGCCATTCAAACTCACTTGGTGCTAGCATATGAGTATTTAAAGACACTTTTCTCATCTAATATTTAGTCTCAGAGAATATTTATGGGGGCTATAGACTATGCCCATTCCCTGAAAGATTCTAATCTCCAAGGAGGTTAGTTATAGGACTTGAGATGTTTGGAAGGCATTTAATCATGAAGGTGGGGCCTTCAGAAGTGAATTATTGCCTCTAGGAAAAAACACCAGAGGCTTCCTGTCTGTTCTGCTAGATTAAGATACAACATACAGATGTAGAAACATACAGATCAAATTCTTCACCCCAGAACTTCGCCCACAACTGACACTTCATATCTGAGCACCTCCATCTTAGACTTCCCAAACTCTACAACTACAAGAAATAAACTTTTCATGCTATTAAGCCATCCAGGCTATATAGCATTTTCATTGTAGGAACCAAAATGGCTAAAGTATCGAAGTTGTAAAGATAAGATATGAAAGTATATGCTGCCTAAATAATCTTAATATTCTTTGAAACTATACTTTGCAGGTGCTGTTTCTAGAGATCGTGAAGATAATGTGAAAAGGAGAAGTATTTTTCAGGTACCTCAGCTCTTTTCTACATGATGGAAACCCGAATGGCTACAGAATAAATACTGGAAAACCACAGAGTCACAAGAAGCAAATGGTACACAGATCAGCAAAGCTTCAGCTCCTAGTAAACCATCACAATAAACACGAGTGGCCAGAGAAGGCTAGATCTTGCTTGGGCCTTCCAATGACACCAGCCCAGCACCCTGGAGACCTGGGCTCCCAAGCAGGAAGATAGCTGAAGAGGAGGGTACCAGGACACAGGACACAGCACAGAAAAACTCCAGGTGTCAGCAGTTAGTAGTACTTTAGAATACAATACAATATTACTGTTAGGTGTTTAGTTAGTAGTATTGCAGAATAATATACAGCATTACCAATAGGTGTTGGTTAGTAGTACTGAAAAATACAGTACTGTTAGGTGTTTAGTTATTAGTATTATAGAATGATATTCAGTACTACTGCTAATAGTTCATTTGTTAGTACCACAGAATACTATAGAGTACCCCGCTCAGGTGTTTAGTTGGTACTGCAGAGTACAATATGGTACTAGAAACACAATAGGCATATCTGATAGCCTACAACCATACCTGTCTACATAATAACATCAAACCCTGAAAGCTGGGCAGGGAGGGGCTCGTGGGCCATGCTGCCGATACCTGAAGCATTGGTGCGAATGTATAAGATTTCACTCTTGGCCCCACGGATGTGGTCATTCTCTACCATGGTGAGGGTCACGGCCTTGACGTAGACGGCATACTGTGTCCAGGGCTTCAGCCCCTGCAGGAGAATGCCGGGCTCCTTGTCTTTATTGTTAGGGAGGTCCACGTCCACCATGTTCCAGCTGTTGGAGCCACAGGCATCCTGTCCATCATATTCTGTGACATTTTTAAAGGGTCTGAAAGACAACCAATCAAGTACAGAGAATGTGTTTGGGCTCTCACATCAAAACACACTCTCCCTGCCCCCACTCAAGACCCTTTCCCAAGAGCTGAGCATGTCACATTTTCTCTAGTAGGAATTCTAAAGAAAATAATCACCAGTTAGATTTATATAGAAGAACAAAATTAGGCAACTAGACATGGGGGTTCACTGGTCTACAGAAATGAATCTCCAACTCCACAAACACAAGTTCTGCGGTTACTGGGATTCAAAATATGGGTCTTTAAACGGACACGCAGAAAGCCGGGCCCCAGTGGCTCACACCTATAATCCTAGCTACTCAGCTGAGATCTGAGGATCTCAGCCAGCCTGGGCAGAAATAATAGTCCATGAGATGCTTATCTCCAGTTAACCACTAAAAGCCAGAAGTGGAGCTATTAGTCAAGTGGTAGAGTGTCAGCCTTGAGTGAAAAAGCTGAAGGATAATACCACAGGTTCTGAGTTCAAACCCCAATAAAAAAAAAAAAAAAGAAAATTAAAAAAAAAAAAAGGAAAGACTGAGACAAAGGAGATCTTCAGCCTATAAGAGTATTTCCTGACTGCCAGGCAAGTAAACAGTGTCTGATGGCAGAAGAAAAACTCCCAGCAGCTTTTGGGAGAAGTCACAAGAGGCTGGAGACATGGAGGCTGGTCTGTCTTATTTCCTCTTTTCTTGTTGGAGAGTTCATGACCCAGAGCAGAGATGGAGGAGACCGCCATGCATATAATGACCAGATAAGACAATGGACCAAATCCAGGGTGAGAGCAAAGACAGCAGTGCATTCTGGGAGTGTTTCTGGAGAAGAGCATGGTGGGTACAAACTCTCAAACAGTATTTTAACCAATCCTCAAGTCTCAACTTTGTGACAGTTGGGTGTGACCTAATTCTCAAAAAAAAAAAAAAAAAAAGACTCTCAACCTTTCTTCCTTTAGGATGAATGTACTCAGACATTCCTAGTGACTCACTAAAGAATGAAACACTTCGAGCTACCGGTTTCTTATCAGTTGGGCTGTTGGTCACATGACAGCTAGGTAGGGCACTGAGGAGGAAGCAGGTTCACTTGGCTCAGTCCATGGAGACCATGCTGACTCCCTGTTTGGCCAACACAGGCGCAGACCAAAGGACTGGTTGCCCACACTCCCAGCCCTGCGGAATGGAGCCACAGGGCAGAGAACTCACGCCTCCTTGTAGTACACGGTGAAGCTGATGAGGTCCCTGTAGTCCGGGGGCCGGTACCGGTGCCACGTGATGATGATGTGGTTCTTCCACGTGGTGGTAGAGGTAAAATGCAGGACGTCACTTTCACCTGGGGCACAGAGGCACACCGTGAGTGTGACAGAGTGTGACGGTGTGTGTGTGACGGAGAGTTGGCTTTCTCCACGGCTGGCTGTCATGCTTACTGCTTGTCTGGACTTGGGAGGGAGCTGTCTTGTTTTCTACCAAGCAGTTTCCTGGAGAAACTGGGTCCATCCTAAGCTTTAGTTCAGGCAGTTTAGGGGCCACTTGCTCAGGAAATGAATTGGGACATAACTCTCTGATTCTTAACCTGTGTTGAGTAAGGCCACATCATGAAAGAAGTGGCCTAACCTTTCTGCCAATCCCTAAGTTGCTGGCAGCCACAGGGTCCTGGCTAAGCCAATCTACAAGCTGGCCTGAGTCTTCTGTGAGAGGAGTGGGCCTGTGCTGCGGGTGTGAGACCCTGGTGAGTTACAGAAAAGAGCTTTTGTCACTCCAACCTGGGTATGAAGCTGCAAGGGCACAGCACTCCTTGGAGTAAATGGAGCAAAGCCCAGGCAAGCCTTCTGTGCTCTATGGCTGGTGTCCCCCTATCCAGTGACCTACGGGAGCTACCCTGTGCCCTTCTTGTTTTCTGTTCCAACTACCATAAGAACCCCAGGAAGACAGAGGATGACAGCCCCCAGGGAGACACAAGGCTCTCCAGTGAAAGTGGGATAATGAAGACAACAAGATATTCAGAAACCTTTTGGGGCATATAAATGTACTTGAGTAAAATCTGGTAACATGCGGAAGTTACACTTCTGTTGAGGTGTCATTTAGAGAGAAAACTTGGACAGTGCTTCAAAGGGAAGGACATGGCGGCTGCATTCTTAGCCTCCCAGGTCAGGCTGGCTGACTCTTAAAGGCAAAAGCACTCTGAATATGCTCTCACACACCCGCTCCTGCTGTGGTCTGAATGAGAGCAAGGCAGGAATTAGGCAGTAAGGGCAAAGGCTGTGAACGCTCTCCACCTCTAACTCCTCCTACAGACACAGCCTCCCAGCCTACCTTAAGCAATTCAGACTTGTGTCGTGTGTCTGTGTAAACCACCCTTGATCATATAGATTACTCTTCCCACCCCCCACACCCCCAGCTCCGAACACTATAAAGTGGAAGTTAGTGGGGCAATTTGTTTTTACAATCCTAACCAGCCAAATTGAGCCATAATACACTGTTGTTTTGAGACAGGATCTTTCTAGGTAGCTATTCCTGACCTGTAACTTGCTGTGTCCCCCAGCCTGGCCTCAGATTCATGATCCTCCTGCCTTATGGCTGGGTTTATAGCCAGGTACCAACACACCCCAAAGAACCATTAACACGTTTAAAGGCAGCAGCTTTCCATACAGGGTGAGAGGAGAGAGATGGAATGGTTAACATCCAGCGTGGAATACACTCGGAGAACCGCCGTTCTAACAGAGGTTGAACTCCAGGTCTGGATGACTTTAAAATTGTATCACCAGAGCCAGGTGACAAATGTACTGCTCATAATTGAAAACAGCTTATGGACTTGAGGATGTAGGCTTACTCCTCCTTCTTTGCATTGGGGATGCAGAGCAAAGAAGAGATCCGGGGAGCATGTGGCACACGGGGGCTCGCCATGGCAGGGTTTCTTCTACCCAGAAGCCTTTGCTCCATTCTAAGGGAGAGCCAGGCGAGGCTGGTTGGGCTGTTCAGGCTTGTCTTTAACAAATACTTGGGGTATTAACTATGAAAGAGAGATGTGGAATGAAGGTGTTAGTTAAGGAGGGGTCCATTGAAGTGACGAGGGGCTCCCCAGGAAAGCTACCCCCCCCCACTGGGAGAGTCTGGGGTTATCCCAGGTGGGAAAGGGTTGGGGTGGGCGGAGCACAGTGTCTTGGAGGCGTCACTCACAGGAGGCTCTTTCCCCATTGTTCCTAGTGTTTATGTCCCCTTTGCTCTGGCGTCCTTTTGTCCCCGTCACTTCCTCCATGCGGTAAATTTCGGAAACACACAGCTTGGGGTTGAATGCAAAGTACATCTTCCCCGATTTGATGGTGAGGTTGCGGTGGTCCCAGTCCCACAGCTGCTGAAGGTTCTGGTTATCCAAGACGTAGAAGGAGTAGTTCCTGCAGCACAGATAGCCACATTTGTCAGTCAGGGGATACAGATCTTCTACAGGTCCGACAGGCTCTTACCAACAAGAGAACTGCTTAGTGGCACACAGCCGCCATTAACTCTGGCAACCACGAAAGTCAGGGACACACACTGAAATCCAGAGGACACATCCAAGGATGTTCCTCAAATCAGTCACTAGAAAAGCCTTTGGGTGTTTTTTGTTTTGTTTTGTTTTTTGTTTCTCAGGTACATACATGCACTTGAAACAAGTCCCCAGAGAGCAGATATGCTCCACTACCCAACCAGAACAGCTTAAGTATTTGCTGCGGACTTTCCCACTATCGTCTGTGGACGGAAAACCTCCCCGCGCCCCGTCGGCAGGGCAGGATGGAATGGGAGCCAGACAAGGGGCGGGCAGCATCTCCCCAAACTGGGGACCCACAGGCAGCCGGGGCTCCCCCAGCCCGACCCTCATTCAGATGAAAGACCAGTTACAGTTTCAATGCTACCCAGCAGCCTTCAGCAATTCTTTGAGCATCAGCAAGGGAGTACAGACCAGGAGGGAGCTCAGAGGCAGGTCTCTAAGTGCTGCGAATAGCACCGAGTTGTTTACTCTGTGACATCTGAGCTCTCTATTGCTGTTAAGAGTCTTAATATCCAGAGGAATCACTGAGCCCTGCAAGCCTCAAGTCTCAGTCCTCCCCAGGCACTGGGCCCTCTGCACACAGACCGAGGGCAGAGTGCTATGGATACAGGGCTTAGTGAATCAGCAAACAAGTCCACAGAGCCTAAAGGTACTTTGCAACTCCATTCTCTAGCCTCTGGATACATTAATGGTCACCAAAGGAGTGGCAGAAACTTGCAAGTCAATAATCCTTTCAGAAAGAGCTCTTTAACATGACTCTCTATGCCCAGATGTCCCATTGGATCCAGCTGCCATACAAGGCTGTGAGTCCTAGGGCAGTCTGGATCTACTGCCCCAGGGAACAGAGCCCACACAAGTCCAAACATAAGTCTACTTGGAGAGCCCTGACTGAAGAGGCCAAAGTTAGTGTTAGCGCCCATCTCAGATCCCTGAGATAGCTCCCAGGACAAAATCTTGTTGTGGAGAAATCTCCAGGCTGAATGCAAGGACCCATTAATCAGGTCAAGTTTCCATCTTAGTTCAGGACTAGACCTCTTTTAGTAAAATAATTTTACTAGGAGCAAATAGAAATACCTTCTGAATAAAATATCCTCTCCCTAAGAAGGAAGAATGAATTACAAATTAGGAATCTGACAAATGAAAGACAGGCACAAGGAACTATGTATATATAATTAAATATATATTTTATTATTAAATATATATGTTGTATATTTCCATGTGCATGTATATTCATTACATATATGATCAATCACTTGGAAAAGCATATTTATCTTTTTAAAGTAAACACAAACTTAAAAAAAAATACAACAATGAGAAGCCTGGGAGCTAGTTGTTACAGAGCCTGTGGAAGGTAAAGGAAAAGAATAAAATCCTTATTAAAATAGTAATCAAGCGGTTTGAGGAATTATCAGTCAATGCTGCTCTCATTTTGCTAGCCCCTAGCTTGAGGTTCTGTTTCCCTGCCTAAATTCCTTCCAGGATGAGGTGAGAAGTAAAAAAAAAAAAACAAAAAAACCCCCAAAAAACACTAGCAAGCTAAGATCTGTCTGTACATCTTCCAAACACAAATAGACTTAAATTTTTATTATTTCCTAAAGGAAATGACTAGTTAAGACAATGACTCAGTAAATGTAATTTTCTAAACTGTTTCTAAGCTCATTGCCTCTGCATTCACAGCATACTTCTAAAAATTATTATTTGGTGTTTTTTTTTCTTTTGCTTACGTTTCCACAGGCTCTGTGATGCTTGGGTTTGGTTGATATTGGTATACTGGCTGTCAGCCTTCTCAATAGTCAAAAATCTATCTATCTATGTATCTATGCATGTATCTATGTATGTATCTATGTATCTATGTATGTATCTATGTATCTATCTATGTATCTATGTATCTATCTATCTGCCTACTACCTACCTACCTACCTACCTACCTACCTACCTACCTACCTATATGCTTTGGTTATTACATAGGTTCCATCTGTGAATCAGCTGGGGTGACTGGGGATACCCTAAAGGGCATCAGCATGTCATTTGTGATTTGGGGTTACCATTTTGGGTCTGATCTCACTTTTAGTTAGCAGTGCCAGCAGCAGAAAGTGTGGGAAGGCCAAGGGTGCCATAATTTCTAGGTCTCTGAGTGGTTACTTGGAAGACAGCCCCAGGAATCAGGTTTGGAGCATTCCACTTGGCAATCTCCAAAGATTAGATCTATCTGAGTCTCATCTCCACCTTGCATGAAGTAAAAAACTCCAGGCAGTTTTGTTGTTGTTGTTGTTTTGGTTTCTCCCAGCCTGGAGTTTTCTTCAGCGGCAAATAGGAGGTTTCTTCTCTGCTCTCTGCTGGCCAGGTGGAAGAATCGGATGAGCTAACTATGAAAGCACACTGAGAGCTTTGAATCACCTCACAAAGGTGTGAGTTGACCTGCTCTGCTCTGTGAAGTGTCAACGAGCCACAGAACAAAGTCACCGAGGACAGGCGAGTCCTGTGTGGTGACACCGAGGGGCTGAGGCCGTCCTGTGGGAATACGAAGGGACATTCCTCCTCTCTGCCCCTTCAAACTCTGGCTGACATACTGGGGTAAAAAAAAAAAATCTGCAAAATATATAACCCATAATTCTGTTTATTTCTTGGAGAAAACTGCTGGCAGCTGTCTCTAGAGGGCATCAGAACCCAGCACACCAAGGCTGCCGTGGGTACTGAGATGTCTACCACAGACAGAGGCGGTGGCCTCACCACACCCCTAGAACTCATCTGCAGATGGCTGGTTTACACCATCCTAAGTCCAAGATTACACCATTGGTGACAGTTCAGCAAAGGAGGAACTGTATGTCCAGATGCAGTAGCACCAGATGCTCAGAAAATGTTTCTTCTTTGCTAAGTGTTTTTTTTTTCTTTTTGTTTTATAAATAGCTTTACTACTTGGGTGCTTGTGGCTCATGCCTAGGATTCTAGTTACTGAGGGGGCTGAGATTTGAGGATCATAGATCAAAGCCAGCCTAGGCAGGAAAGTTGTGTGAGATTCTTATCTTTAATTAACCAGAAAAAAAAAAAAAGGCAGAAGAGGTGTGGCTAACGTGGTAGAATGCTGTCAACTTTGAGCAAAAACAAAAACAAAAAACTAAAGGACAGCAACTAAGACTCTTGGAGTTCAAGCCCCAGTATTGATACACACTCAAAAACATAACTTTACCGAAGTATAACTGGCCACCAAAATTTTTACTCTTGGTAAATGTACCAGCTTGTGAGCCTCAGTGGATCTCTACGGCCATCCATCACCACCGCTACCAGCTCACCCACACCTCAAAGGTCTCTCATTCCTGCTAGTGCTCAATCTCCACTTCTAACCTCCAGCCACCACCATCCACTGTTCCCACAGTTAGCTATTCTCTTGTTTTTTCTAGAAGTTATATATCAAGAGAATCACAGGAACCAATCTTTTTGGGTCCTTTTGTTTTCACTAAGCCTAATGTCTCTGATGTTCACGCATGCTACTACATGTCTTATATAAGCCATTCCTTTTTATTCTTGAGTAATATTCCACTGTACCATATTTTGGTTACCCATTCATCTGCTGATGAATATTGAGTTTCTAATGGGCTGAGATTTTTGTAGAGGGGGTGCTATTACACATAATACAGCTATAGAGGCTGGGAAGGTGGCTCAGTGGTAGAGCGCTTGCCTTGCATTCATGAGGCCCTGGGATTCCTCAGCACCACATAAGCAAAAAGATAAAAGCCGGAAGTGGCGCTGTGGCTCAAGTGGTAAAGCGCTAGCCTTGAGCTGAAGAGCTGAGGGACAGCGCCCAGGCTCAGAGTTCAGGCCCCATGACTGGATCCCCCCCCAAAAAAAACCAAACCAAACCAAAACAAATAATATAGTTACAAATATTTACATACTAGTCTTGCATGGGCATGTTTCCATTTCTTTCTGAGTAAATTCTGGAATTGCCGGGCCATATGGAGATATATATATATACATATTTTTAACATGCAGCTATATTTCAGCTTACTCTTAGAGCTGCAAGAGGGTAGCATGAGGCACTGAGTGTTGTAAAGTGATTAGGGACACAGTATGGAGGTATTTAAGTGCATCTAACCTACACTTTTCTGTATTTTTATTTAAAAACTAAACTATCCTTGGTAGCACAAAAAAACTTGAAACTTTAACTTCCTGTTGATATGGTGGCATCAATAAACAAACTGTCCAACTAAGGGGATTTTCCAGATAACAGAAATATTTTCTCTCTTATTCAAGAAAGAAATCTCATGTATTAGATTACACCATCAGTTTCCTTTGCAAAGAGCAGAAAAACCTTGATTTTCTTACTATTTCACATCTTTCATCTAGAAACACACACCATGTTATGCAGGGCCATGTCCTCCGGGACATAATGTGTAAGTCTGACACAAATCAAAGACTACACTCTGGGCTTTGGTCTTAGTGATGGATCATCCTGGTTCTTGTTCTGATGGCAATCTGCCTCTCCCTGTTACTGGACTGAAAAGCATGTAACAAGACTGGCTTGTAGTGAGTGTAAGCTCAAGGTACATAGAATGAAGGCTGCAGGAGTACTACTCGAGGGAAAATGATTGCACTCTTGTGGATGGCACGGGAAATCTCATTTCACTTTTGGGAGGGCGTTTGGTGACATCTTGGAGACCCAACACTGGAAGAATGATTGAAGGAAGAATGATTCCAGTCTCCATCAAAATAAAAAGTCTACAGAACTTCAATCCAATGGAACCACATGTAAACAATTATTTGTGCTCTCACTGGCTGTAGGATAAGTTCAGGAAATATAGTACATTAAGACAGCAGAGTAATAAGAATATGGACATACACACACATATATAATATATGTATACACACACACAGCTTCAAGTTCTCTGAACCAAAAAATAGGCATGGGAAGGACACAGTACAAGGATACGTAGTACAATGGTTTTCAGCTTTTGTGGCAGGCTGATAGTACCCAAAAATCCTTAAAGAAGTTCACACTGGGCACTGGTGGCTCACGCCTGTAATCCTAGCTATCCAGGAGGCTGAAATCTAAGAATTGATGTCTGAAGCCCGAATTAGGCAGAAAAGTCCACGAAAATCTTATCTCCAATCAACCAACAAAAAGCTGGAAGTAGAGCTGTGTGGCTCAAGTGGGAAAGTGCCAGCCTTGAGCAAGAAAGCGAATAAACAGTATGAGGCCTGAGTTCAAGCCCTAGCACTCACACAAGACAAAAAAAATTCTTATTTCCTGCATGGCAGGCTCAACCGTTGAATGAGTTGGGCATCAGGACCCCTTCAAACCTCCTCATTCTGCCCTGGTAATTATAATGTATCGCAATGTTTGGGGAGCACTGGGAGACAAGTTTTCTTGGTTTAAAAATCAACAGTACACTGGAATTAAAATTCAGACAGCTCGGCTTACACTCTTTAACTCAGCAGCCTTGAATGTGTCTGTGGCCTTTCTAAATTATAACCTTTGCTCATAGGTAGCTCACCACCTCAGGTCACCCTCGTACCATCAACCTCGCCAGTACTGTTTGACAAACAAGCCTCAGGATGCCCAAACTTGCTGCCTTTGCTCCTGCCCTTTCCCCGACTGCCCGCCTTTAATCTCTGATGCTACCACTTCTTGGAAGCCTGTGTGATCCTTACCACCAAGACACCTCTCTTCTGTTCCCCGGGGCGCATTCCTGTCTTTCCACTGAAACACTCAGAAAGCCGTGCTTTGAATTCTCATTTATCTGTTCGCAGCATCCACTTCTTCTACTCCTCTCTGACTTTCTACCTCTTTATTTTTTAAATCAGTATATATGAGTTACATAAAGGGGTTTCGCTGTAATGTTTTCATAGATCCATATAATGTGTTTTGATCACCTCTACCCCCTCTATTACTCTCTTTATCCTTTCCTCCCCATTTTAAAAGCAATCTTGAATTGTTTTTAAAAAAATCTCTTTTCATAGCTGCTCCCAGTCCCTCTCTCCCTCTTCTTGTGCCCTCCCCAACTCTCTCCCTACTGGACCCCCTGTAAGAGTGCTCCTGTGAACAGTCTTTTTTTTTTAAGTTCTAGATCTACATAAATTAGTGGTTCCTCTTGGCTTTCTCCTCTTTGCCCATTGCTTGCTCAGTCTGGGAAAGAACAACCCACCAAAACCCACCAAAACCCACATGTAGACTTAAGCAGCAAGCAGATTCCACAGCTACCAATCTGCCAAAGAAAAAAAATGGTTCCTGATCTGAGAGATTTCCAAACGCCGGTCTACTGGGAGGAAGGAGGAGAACCCTAGGGGTTAAATTCATTTTAAAACTTAATACAACCACCTGAAGCCAGCACTTCAGAGCCCCAGTGTGGGGGCAGCTTCTGTGGACTTGCAACAAGAATGAAGATTTTTCTAAAGATTCAGGGCCCTGAGCGGAGAGCGCAAGGCAGTCTTTAGAGAGAGGGAATGAAGAGCAGCTCACTGCTCTCTCTCTAGCTATGATCAGATGATGGAATTTTAAGAATTTAAGACTGATCAACAGTCAGGCTGAGAAAAACTAGGATGTTATAAGGAAACCCTGACGTGGTAACTTTATCCAACTGGGACAGAGAAAACAGCCAGGACGACCTTTCCCATGGCCTTCCCACCTCCCCCCACCCCTCCAGCCCCTCCAAATGAATTTCTCACATTCTTTTTAGAGGAACTTCACTCCTTAATTTTATTTCAAAGTATTAGGCTTAAAAGCCGGGCAAGAGCTCTATTTAAAAGAGGAAATGTGCAAAGAAATGAACCAGCCGAACAAAAGGTACACTCGGGCTAACAGCTGGGACGGGAACATGCGAGCAGGAGGCACCAGCTGTTGCCTCTGGTGAAAAGCTCACCCCTGCTTTCAAACCACATCACACAGCCCGTCTCTGCAGAAGTCAAAAATTCTACCAAGAGTGCCGATCCAAGAAGCTAATCAATAAAAACAATTTGGGGAAACCGAGATTTTCTTCATGACAAACCTGTCTTTACACTTTCGACTCTTCGGTTCTGATCTTTTAACAGACGGATGATTTTGACAGTGGAGGACATCTCAGGGAGAGAAGGGTCACATGACCAAGGACTCCATCAGGAGTTAAGTGTGTGAGACTGACTACTGTCACTCCTGACAGGAAAAGCCCCGCCAGCCCCAAAGCTGCGACCTCACAGGCCAGCTTAGATTTGCCATCCCAGACTGAAGCATCTGGACCCAGAATGAAAACATTTGTTTCCCCAAACAGCATCATCCCGAGGGGTAGAACCAGGGCCTTACACAATGCCCTGCCCTGGGCAGTCAGTTACCACCAGTCTAACAGGGCTCATTTCATCGCTTCTTCCCTCTATTGAGGAGGGAAGGTCTCTTACCTGGGTCCTACACTTTTACAAGCAGGTCATTTACACTGTAATTAATAGGGAAGGACATGGCTCAGAAAATGGTCGGGGAGCACTTACCCTTCCAGCTGCTCCTCTCCTAGAATATGGCGAAGGTTTTTGAGGAAGGACAAGGAGACCAGGGCGTGCGAATGGCGGATCTTCACGTAACCCGTCACCACCTCAATGAGCCCCATGAAGGTCTCCAGCTCCGAAGCAATGTTATCTACAACGAAGCGGGGGACTGGGTCACAAAGTGGCCACTTGGTGTTGTGGGGAACATATGCTGGAGTGCCATCATCAGGTATGGAGGATAATTCAGTGGCAGGTCTTGTTCTGGGGGGAGCCCAGAGCCATACCCAGGATCCCGGCACAGGGCCAAGCATCCCCTCACCCCCACAGCTATCTCCAATCATAAAACACACCTCCTTAGCTTTGACTTTCAAGAATACTCCTGGGTCAAGGCCTCTGAGGCAAGGGAAAACATGTTTCCAGGAGGCTCCCGAACTGCAGTTCCCAGGCTGATTAACAGAATGTAAAATCATAAATACCAGACTCACAATTAGCTAAGGCTGACAGATCCAGGGACCGCCTTTTAATAGGCTCTGTTAACAGAGCGCTGCCTCCGCAGCACAGGGCATGGCTGAACAAACATTTCCCCAGTCTCATTATCAACAACAGCCTTCGCTATCCCCCAAGGCACAGGCACCCAGAGCTCATGCTGGTGGCTCAAGCCTATCATCTTAGCTATTTAGGAGGCTACTTCTGAGGATCGCGGTTCAAAGCCAGCCCAGACAGAAAAGTCCACGAGACGCTTATCTCTGATTAACCAGAAAAATAAAAGCAAAAAACAAAAACAAAAACCAAAGCAAAACAAAAAGGTCAAAAAAGTAGAGGTGTAGCTCATGTGGTAGAGCACCAGTCTTGAGTTAAAAAAAAAAAAAAAGATAAGCAAGAGTATGGGGCCTTGAGTTCAAGCCCCTCTACTGGCACTAAAACATTGAAAATACTATTAATTGAAACCAATTCCAGGAAATGGAAATATGGTGTGGGTTGGGTTTTTTTGGTTGTTGTTTTTTGTTTGTTTTCTGTCTTTTGCAGAGGGCAAGAGAGTCTCAGACATGAAGGAAAGGTGAACAAATGCAGGCAGGGCACTGAGTAGACACTACGTGGGAAATGAACTATGTATCTTGAGGGCAGGAACAGGAGGGGAAAACTAGGGAAAAACGAAGGAGTAACATTGTCCGAAAAGAAATGTACTCATAACCTGACTTATGAAACAGGAACCCCTCTGTACAATACCTTAAAAATAACTGTAAAATTATATTTTAAAAAAACATTGCCCTCCAGGGACCATTCTCTGGATGGGTGAAGTCTCACTATTTCCCTTTCAAATAAACTTATTGTTTACTTAACATTCTTTTAACATTAAAAAGAACAACTCTTCCCTTTGCTCAGTCCCCTCAATATATCCAAGGAAGCCAAACTCTTGGGACTTGAAGCGGTATGGACCTAGCTACAGCTGGAGCTGGCTGAGTCATGTCTCCCATCCATCCAGTCTCCTCTGGGGTTTGAATGTGCTGCTCATGTACCTCTCTTGGGAAGAAGATGACCAATGGAAAAATGGGAGATGCCCCTTCTTGAAGAAGGAAATCCTAATGCCAATGGCTAAAACTCAGACTGCCTTTCAATCTGCTTTTTCTTTTTTAAAATCTCTTGAGTGAAACCCAAAAGAGAGATGTCATGTACAAGGTTTATTTGCATAAAGTTTCTTTAAACCCCTTTTCTACTTGTGACTCAGAGACTGGATTGGGAGGTGTGGGCGAGGGAGGGTGGGGGGAAGGAAACCATCAACCAAAGTAAACCAAAAGTACATTCAACCATTTGTCCAGTCAGGGGTAGAACACTTACTGCCTCGTCGGATATTAATGAGCAAATTTCCCCGGAAGATAGTGCATCCTTGGAGCATCTGAGCAGAAGTAACGGAGTCGATAGTTTTTGTCTTCTTTTCTTCCTCTCCACAAACCTTGGGGCAAGGACCTTCGCAGGGGATACAGTACATGCTGTTGAACCACAAACAAACAAAGAGAATTAAGTTTGCCTCCTTGCATGAAAAAAACTTTCAAGAATAAGCCAGAAGTTGCATTTGTACAACACGCAGGACCAAATGCAGAAATGTCAAGGGCTTACAAGGAAGCTCACTGGACCTCAGGCCCACCCAGAATAAACCATGTCTTAGTTGTCCCCCATAGGGGAAAGTGCCTACAAAGGAAAAGTGTATTGCTTATTTCTAGACAAAATATGCAATCTATCATGGGAAGCATGTGTGGACCATAGGCTGCTCCCTAGTAAGCCAGCTGGTTCCATGTGGGAGACAGGCTGGCAGGAAGGAAGCTCTGGGGGCTGGAACTAGAGGAGAATGGAGTTGCTCTGATGTTGTGGCCTGGACGGCCTTCACCTGCACAGCAGAGGGCTTGCTGGAACAGCCAGCAGGGACAGTGGAAGAAGCAGTGTCTTTGCCATTCATTAACCAGTCTGATTTTCCTGCGGTCTGTATCGCAGCAAAGCCCAGTGAGAGATTCCCAAAAGGCATCTGTATAGTACAGAGCCGTCATTTTCTTGCAAAAGCACAACTGAAAATTATTTCTTGACAGTGTTTTTGCAGAAACGTGTAAATTGATCCAAATGTTGTTTTTGCTGCACATACAATAAAAGCAGGGAATTTCCATTACTTGGTAATGCGCTCCTATTTCAAAATGCTATCTCAAGCCTGGCACAAACGACCAAGAAGTCAGGGAAAAAGTAAGGCTGGTCATTCTTCCTGCTTACCTACCATTATTTAGGAAGGAGTGGGCAAAATGCTAATGCAACAGCTGGATCTTTGGTATTGTAGCTGTCTATAAGAATCAGGATAGAGAAGATGGGTCACTCACCCAACAAGATAAATAAGAATCTTATGGGAATTATTTATAATACAGTGGTAAGTTGGAAAAACCATTAGATTGGCAGGATGGTTCTCCAATGGTCTTGTGAAAATTCTATCAAGAAAGAACAATTAAGAAAAACAGTGGGAGTTATAGGTATTTTCAGTAGTCTTCCCCTTGCCCTAGAATGTTATTTCTTACCCAAGGAAAAGATATATATTTGTTTTTGTGCTACTCATGGAGCTTGAAGTTGGGGCTTGAATGCTATCCCTGAGCTTTTTTGCTCAAGCCTAACTCTTTACCATTTGAGCCACAGCTCCACTTCCAACTTTTCAGTGGTTAAGTTGGAGATAAGAGTCATCTCACAGACTTTTCTGCCCTGCCATGGCTCATGGCATGAGCCATGAGCCACCAGCCCTGGCAAGATGTGGGATATTGTTTAAACATAATTTCTCTGCCATCTTCCTATTTCATGTTCAGAGAATGGGGTCAAGGTTTCCAAAATACCCTGCAGTAAGTGGACCTACCTAAAGAAGGGGTCAGGAAGATCCTCTTTGTGCTGAGATCACATTCAACGTTCTAATTCTAGCATGGGGAGGGGCTTTCTTTCAGCACTTTCTTTTCTTTTGGTCTTCTTTTTAAAAATTGACCCACATATCCTATAATCCCTCCCAGACCCTCTGTTTCCTAACTAAAAGTTCTTATTTTGAAATTACCACTGCGCAGAAATTTACAAGCACAGGGTAGAGAGACCCACACACCCTTTGCCCAATTTCCTCCAGTGGTGGCTACAATCTTTCACACAGGTAATGCAATATCCAAACCAGAAAATGAACACTGGTGTGCGTCTGGAGTCCCGTGTCAACTTTCCACTTGTGTACAGTTGTGTCATTCTCCCCACTACCATACCAACACAGAGCTCTCCCAGCACCACAAAGGTCTCCGGAGTCGCCCACTCTTTCAATCACTCCCTGCTGCACTGTCCCTAACGCCAATCTCTTTTCCATCACTATGACTTCATCATTTTGAGAACGCTGTATAAATGGAATCGAGCAGTGTGTCAGCTTTGACATTGGCTTTCTTTACACAGCACAATCAAGGTGCTGTGTATTTCTGCGACTGGTTTCTTTTTATTACCCAGTAAGATTCCAATGCTTGCTTTGCTTCACTATTTACTTTTTTGTTTGTTTGTTTCTTTTAAGTGGGTAGAGTGAGCAGTGCTTAGAACTGAACCCAGGACCTCAAGCATGCTAAGCTACTCCATTTTACTTGATTTTTTTTTTTTTTTTTTTTTTGGTTTTGAGATGGGGGACTCACTATCTATGCCTGGGTTAGTATTGAATTTGTGATCCTCCTGTTTCTGCTTTTTGGAGAGCTGGGGTTATAGATGTGAACCCCTAAACCTGGTACCATTTACCTGTTCTAGGACCCCTGAGTTGTGCCTGGGTTCTGGCTATTATATAAAAAGTTGCTATGAACAACTGTGAATATTTCTTTGGACACATGTTTTTGTTTGCCTGAGGTACGTGTTCAGGGTCAACTCTGTTACACTGTGGAGTTGGGTATGTGAGTTTCTCTCCCTCTTTTATTCAAGTGCATTTTTTAAAAATTTTGAGCCACATACATTCCTTTGTGAAAACATCTAGGAATCACTGAACACTGCAAGAAAAAAAGTTATTGCAAGGAAGCACTTTTGATTATCTAGGTATAGACTAAGCTTCCTCCAATTCACTCTGGAAGCAAAGGCATCTAAATAATACTTTAAAATATTTTCAAGTGCGTGTCAAGGCCAAGCTGAGGATGGGGGGGAGGGGTGGGGGGAGACAGCATTTATCATTTCTTGATGGTGTTTTATTTTTGGAGCCAAAAAGTCGTCCCTGTAGCTCTGGATAGAACTGACGTGTTCAGAAACTCACCTCAGAGGGATTGAAAACAGAAACAAGCAAACACAACCCACAAAGCACAACAACAACAACATTGAAAAGGTACAATGTTCTCTTTTCTGCCCACTGCGGTGACCGGACACTTCCCAAAGTAGCCAAAGAAGCTGTATCTGCAGGTCAAAGCTGACACCAGGCCAGGGTCGTGGGCCAGCTGTCCCTTCCCTGTCCCCCTCCCTCCCATCCTGTCCCCTCTCCTGTCCCCCCCCACTCCACCCCCTAGGCCAACCCCCCAACTGGCCTGGGGTGTGCGCCCTCTGCTTTCCACCCTAGGCCCGGCCTGGGGTGTGCGCCCTCGGCTTCCCACCCAAGGCCCGGCCTGGGGTGTGCGCCCTCCTCTGTCCCCCCTTCCCAGGGCAGCGGGAATTCCTGCCTAGGCCGCCCTCTCTTCCCCCCTCTTCCCCCCCCCCCCCCCGCAGCCGCGGACCCGCACCTCTGGGAGCCGTTGCGGATGAAGCCCGACGGGCACTCCTGCATGCAGGCGCCGTCGTGGATGACGAAGCCCTCCGAGTCGCCGCTCTCGGCGCTGGGGATGTTGGCGCAGGCGTCGCGGTCCACGCAGCGCCAGCCCTCGAACTTGTAGGTGTCGGGCGGGCAGTCGGGCACGCACTCGCCGCGGTGGAAGTAGTGGCGGCAGGCCACGCACGCCGTGGCGTTGTCGGGCGCCGTGCAGCTGCCCAGGCACTCGGCGTGGCAGCACTCGTTGTCCTCCGTGCACGCGCGCTTCCCGCACGCGCTGGGGCACACTGTGGGGGACACGGAGACAGGGGTGCGGTGAGACGGGGTGCCCCGGGGCCGGGGAGCAGGTCCCAGCCTCCCAGGACCCCCGCAGGAGAGCGGGAGCCCCCTCCTCACCATGACAGCGCACACACACACACACACACACACACACACACACACACACACACACACACACACACACACACACACACACACACACACACACACACACACACACACACTGGCTGGGTGCTGCTGCTCACGCCTGTCATCCTAGCTACCCGGGAAGCTGCGATCTGTGAGGGTGGAGATCAGGTCTGCAGCCAGGCCTGGCAGCTCAAGGAGAGATTCTCATCTCCTGTTCCTCACCCAAAAGCTGGAAATGGGGCTGTGGCTCAAGTGGTAAGAGCGCCAGCTCTGAGCCAAATCAAGCCGAGACAGCTCTTAGGCCCTGAGATCAAGCCCCAGTACTGGTGCGTGCGCTCACACGTGTACTTGTATACACACACGGTACAATGCCCTCTGCATTTCACCCACAGTAGTCCCCTGCCCTCTTACACACTGGGGTTTGCTTCAAGAGCCCCCCCACATACCAAAAACCACTTATAGAACAGTTTCTTATCTATTTCTATATCATCTATCTCTATCTATCTATCTATCTATACATCTCAATAAAGGTATATAGATACCTATGTATGTCTATCTATCTATATATGTACATATCAATAGATATCTATGTGTATGTAGATACCTACACGTTTTCCTATCCATACACAGTGATGGTAAGGTTTAAAGGAGAAATGGAGCACAAAAGGAAGTTAATTTATAAACCAGAACAACTGTAAGGATGTATACTGTGAAGACAGTTACATCAGCTTGGTCTCTCCTGTTGAGAGAGTCAAGGCCGCATTCTCAGACCATGATTGGCAGCTGGGAACTGAGACCTGGGGGAGGGAAGCTCAGGGACAAGCGGACAGCTGTGCTCTCCTGCTGAAAGGCATCCATCACTAGCCTTTCTGAAGAGAAATCCTTCTTTATTCTGAACACCATTCAGCCACAATGAGAACGATGAAGCCACTCAGGTTTACAACTTTCCCAGCACCAGGAGCTGGTCCTGACATCCCAAATAAGCAGGACACTCTTCTCTGCATAACTCTTAACTATGAGATCACCAGCAAGTTGGGGCGACCATGTCTTTTAAGCGTCCACCTGCTATAGTGAGGGGAAACTCAGGCTCACCAGCCACCACACCCACGGTTCACCCCAGCCAGATGAGCTGACCTTGATTCCCCTAACAATGCTGTCATGATCACTCTCCACTGTGAGTCTTACTCATAAAGTATAAATCAACAGAATGGGAAATCTGGTTCATATTATACGTGCCCTACTTTTTTTCCCCCCTGAGTTGGAGAACAATACAAAATTATTTACATATGTATATTTTTGACTCTGACATGCAATTCTGTGTGAAGATTTTATTAGTATTTTTTCCTTATGAAAACACACGCGCAACAGACGTCAGTGATTACAGATAAGAGAAAACGAATATAAAGAACATGATGTAAACCCTTTTAACAATGAACTGACAGTTTAACAAAATTAATGCTAGGAAGCGGAAACATGTCCTGTCTAGGCAGGGTGAGACTTAAAGGAGCAGGAGAGACAAATGGAGAGAGGAAGGGTAGGCAAATACAGTCCTAATATCCAATGTAGCTATCTGAACATGCAAGCAGGTTAACTTGAGGAGATGAGTAGGGTTGGGAGAGATGTGAAAAACAAAAACAGAATTGGTAACATTGATCAAGATGCATTATACTCAGAAATCAACATCTTGAACTGAAACCCCTTTGTACAAATCCATGAGGATTAAACAGATCATGGAAGGCCATCAGTCTCTTTATCATCAACAGCTTTGCTGGAATCCTCCAATACCTATTTTGTTTTTGTTTTTTTTTTTTTTTTTTGGGGGGGGGTGCTGGTACTGGGGGTTGAACTCAGGGCCTGGGCATCATCCCTTAGCTTTTCCCACTTAAGATTAGCATTCTACCAGTAAAGCCACAGCTTCACTTCTGACATTTTTCTGGTTAAATGGAGAAAAGAGTCTCATGGCCTTTCCTGTCTGGGCTGGCTTTGAACCATGATCCTCCTATCTTAGTCTCCTAACCAGCTAAGATAGTACCAGCTTGCCAAGACTGTTTCTTAAGCCATTCATGGAAATAGAGGCATGGGCAGGAAGACTGGAGTGAAAAGTCAACCTCAGGCAAAAATTGGAGGCCCTATCTGAAGAATAACCTGTAAGTGAAAAGTGCTTGAGACAGGGTCATGTGTCAGAACATTTCCTTAGCCAGCACAAAGCCCTGAATTTAAATTATACTACTACTACTACTACTAAAAAAAAAAAGATAGAGTGAGATAAAAAGAAACAATAAAAGAAGCTCGGTCCTCCTGACAATGAAATTACGAGGGCAATATTGAACAGCTTAGAGCTAGACTTAGAACTAGAGAGGAAGTTTTGTCTGTTGCATGCAGCTACACTCATCTCAAGTGAGACGCCCTTAAGTGAAGGACCTGTTGGTCCATGTCAGTTCATGACAGGGCTGGTTCTCAGTGGCTCTGCCTATTTTCAAGATTCAATAACAAGGAGTTAACTACCTGATCACGCAGAAGAAAGAAGAAAGAAAAGAGAGGAAGAGGAGAAGGAGAAGGAGGAAGAGGAGGAGGAGGAGGAGGAGGAGGAGAAGCAGCAGAAGGAAAAGGAGGAAGTAGAAGAGGAGGAAGAGGAGGAGGAAGAAGAAAGAAGAATAAAAACGATATGTTAGCTGAGTACCACATCTATAATCTTAGCTAGTGAGGAGGCTGAAAGCTGAGGACTGTGGTTTGAAGTCAGCCCAGACAGATAGACATGTAAGACTCTTATCTCCATTTAACCACCCCAAAGCAGGAAATGGAGATGTGGCTCAAGCGGCAGAGTGCTAATCTTGATTTTTTTTTTTTTTTAAAGCTAAGGTATAGCACCTAGGCCTTGAGCTCAAGTCATAACACAAAAATAAAATAAAGTAAATAATAGAATTGCTGCAGCAATGATACTAACAGCCTCTCTCCCCGACACACCCCCAATTCTGAGGCACTCTTCGGCCATCCACCACCACCCCCCTTTATGGCTGGAAGCAAACAAAAACTGATTAGGCATCTTGCTGCCATGGCTGTGACTAAGAACCCCTTTCCCTCACCACGAAAAGAGAGAGCTATAAACATGAGGAGCATGGGCTGGGAAGGTGGCTCAGTGGTAGAGCGCTTGCCTTTCATGCATGAGGCCCTGGGTTCAATTCCTCAGCACCACATAAGCAAAAAGAAAAAAGCCGGAAGTGGTACTGTGGCTCAAGTGGTAGAGTGCTAGCCTTGAGCTGAAGAGCTGAAGGACAGCGCCCAGGCCCAGAGTTCAGGCCCCACGAGCGGACCAAAACAACAACAACAACAAAAAAAAAAAAAACATGAGGAGCAACAGGCATTAAGATCAAATCGCTGTTCACTCAGTAGTAAAAACTCCAGAGCATTTAAAGGAACAGGAAATCTCCCAGTGCATTTGCTTGTAATCAGCGATAGTCATATGTAAATGCCGGGCTACCCCATGATGAGACATGACCAGGTATGTACCCATTAGGTGGCTTGGCATTTCCATCATTTCCCTGTAAATAGTGTGTCTAAGCGGGGTCCCCTGAGCCCACCCAAAAGGGCAGGTTGGTGGGGGAGGGTAGCTTTGTTGCTAAGTAGTGAGGGGCTTCCAAATAAATTTTAATGAAGTTTAAAGTAGGTTAAGATCGTTTTCTTCTCCCTGCCTCGCCTCTCTTTACCTGTCTTGGAGCTTGAATTCAAGGCCTGGGCACAGTCCCTGAGCCTCTACCACTTGGGCACCGCACTACTTTCTGGCGCGCGCGTGTGTGTGTGTGTGTGTGTGTGTGTGTGTGTGTGTGTGTGTGTGTGTGTGTGTGTGTGTGTGTGTGTGACTAGTCTATTAAAGATAAGAGTTTTATGGGGACTTTTCCTGCCCAGGCTGGTTTCGAACTGCAATCCTCCGATCTCAGCTTCCTGAGTAGTAGTAGGTGTGAGCCACCAGTGCCCGGCAAGATCATTTTTCTTTTAAGATGGAACAACTCTTCTTTATAGGATGCCAAATCCACGGGTGCCTTTAGGTTTCTGCTGTACACACATACATTGGATACCCAGCAGATGGACAGAAATGCGACAGGAAACAGAGGAGACAGAAGAGAGCTGACTTGTTTGCCAGAGGACGATCTACATCAAGACTCGTCAGTCCAGGCTGCTCTTAAGAAAGCACACTTTGAGAGGATTCCATGAGGCAGGCTGCCGAAGATGAGGAAGTCTGGGATTACAGAGTCCTGGAGCCAGCCCCAGAAGCCTGCTGTAAATTTTGTCTCATCTCAATGTATATAAATATTATTAGTGCTCAGGACTATTAAGGGATTTCTCGAAAAGCCCCGGGCAGTGTGTCTCGCCAGCAGATGGATGGTTGTTCCACATGAGTGCCAAAACTTAAAAAAAAAATCTAGTACAGTAACCAAATTTCCAATTACGGCACCAAGGGGGTGAAGAAGTCAAGCTCTTCACACAGAGTATGATTAAAAGCATTTTAGCTTTGAGAAACAAGAAGTGAAATGGAAGCTGCTATCAACTAACAAAGGTACACAGGGAACCACAAATTGATTCTGCTGGGGAGAGTTTTCTATTCCTTGGAATTCTAACAATGACCAACAATTAAAATAAACAACACACACACACACACACACACACACACACACACACACACACACACACACACACACACACACACACACACACACACACACACACACCTAATAAAAAAAACCAAACCACTGGAAAAGAGAAGGATGAGTCCTACATCAACCACTAAGAGGAAGGTCATGGTTGCCTAACAGGGAACTGCATTTAAAATCTCAGATCCTTCACTGGGATGAAGAGGGGAGGAGAGATGAGTCACACACATGTA